TTACTGCCCAACTAGGCAAACACATCTTGGGTAACAGATAAGCACTTAATGTTCACGATGGATCCTTTTCCTAATCCCAATCATTTTGGCAAACATCATGCTTGCTAGCACTGCATAATAACCCCTTCCCCCCAAAATGCTAGTTTGTTGGCCTATGACATTGTAGTCCCAGGAATATTTTTATCCCAGGAACATTGGATTTGTTGTTGGCAAGACAAGCAATGTTTTGCATCAGCAAAACAAGCAATTCTCAAGTCTACACATAACATTTGTAGTCAACAAGAAGATATTTTAAATCAGTTTATCTACTTCTTGCTTCTTTCCCTCTCTACAATTCCCTTTAACAGTTACAGCAGATCAAGGTGGGGTTAGTTTACAGTAGTAAACCTCAGCAACTTTCAACCTCAGCAATGTTAAGATGTGTGGACTTTAACTCCCAGCGTTCCCCAGTCAGCCATAAAGTCCTCACATCTTAAAGTTGTTAAGGTTCAGAATACTGCTTTATTCAAAATCTGTGCAACATGACAGAATGGTTAATCAAAAGTCCTGATTAAATATCTCATCAATATCAGAACTTAATAATCGCCACATAATAGAGTAAATATAACAATATTGTTTGCCCATAACAGTTTAACCAACAGCCCCAGAATCATATCACTGCAAAATAAAATCTTATTAAAATCCTCAAACATGATTTATTTTTGCATATTTAATATCAAATGCTCTCACCTTTCTTTACCACAGTACATGTTTTCATGGCTAGGAGAGAAAACATTAGCAATGTATGACAATGAATTTTGGCTCAGATTACACCCTTTTGTGTACTGGATGACTTCACCAAGTCATCCAAACCTATAATTCACTTCCTGAGAAGGAAAGTGACTGGAACTAATTGAGATGTGAAAGGAAAAGGATTGTGAAGGATTATTCTTGCAAACATCATCGTTGCTAGTATTCCATAATGCCATGCAGCAAATGCTACTGTGATGGACCAGAATATCAAACCTTCATAACCATCTGTCCCTGTGAAGGAATTCACAATCTGGGGTCCAGCTGGCATCCATTTTCAAGAGGATCTAACTGATTTTATATATTTACAGTATTTAACTAGCTTGTTGGATGTCTCAATTACAGAAGTCGTTCTCTGCAACTTACACATTTTAATTAAAAAAATAAACAAAATAAGAATTAAAAAGTGAACACAGCAGTGAGAACCCCAGTAATCATTTTATCCACCAAATACAGGTAGTCCTCGACTTGCAATAGTTCACATAGTGACTGTTCAAAGTTACAATGGCACTGAAAACAGTGACTTATGACCGTTTTTCACATGACTGTTGCAGCAACCCCATGATCACATAGAAAAGTAGATGCTTTAATTACACCTTTTAAAACATCTTTAATATGTCATAACATAGTTTCAGCCTCAGTCAGTCAAACTAAAATTTGAATAAAGGCCTCCTTTCCAGGACCAGGTTCATTTAAAGATAGAAATTAATTATTGAATAACTTTTCTAAGTACAGGTAATCCTTGACTTACAACAGTTCATTTAATGACTGTTCGAAGTCACAACAGCACTAAGAAAAGTGACTTATGACCATTTTTCATACTTAGGACTATTACAGAATCCCCATGGTCATGTGATCAAAATTCAGATGCTTGGCAACTGACTCATATTTATGACGATTACAGAGTCCCAGGGTCACATAATCATTTTTGTGACCACTTGACAAGCAAGTCAATGGAGAGGCCAGATTCAGGAATTCTGGGAGTTGAAGTCCACAAGTCATAAAAGAGCCAAGATTGCCTACCCCTGACCTAGACATTTCTCATTGTGACTCAGCAAATGTTCTTCTGTCAGATCTTTACTTAATACCATCTGAGACACTTTAAAAAGGATACTTACAGTGAGCTGAGAAATACAGTGAGCTGAGAAATATTTCATTTTGCAACTTTTATGCACACATATTGAACATGTCCAGGGGTCACCCAGAATTTTGCAGCACATACACTATATGGAAAGCCAATACCCAGGACCGTCAACCAGAAAGGCAACCAAACTGGCTGAGAATTTCAGAATTCCTTGGTCCAATGCATTTGGAGATCACCATTTCTGACAGTTAATTATGGTTATGCTTTGCAGATATTTTCACAGGATCCAGCAACTCTCCAGGCATGTCTCCTGCCTGTTTAGGAAAGTGAGGCTGGAATGGAATTCTCTACTTTTTCTATAGAACAAACATGGATGCAACCATTTTAGCCCCTTAATTTCCAGTTCAAGTATCCATTTACCCAGTAAGGACATTTTCCACAAACTATTCTCAGTTTATAGGCTTAGGTGTCTCCTAATTTATGCTTTAAAGGTAAAACCAGGATACAATACTATCCTTGATCTTTTAGAATACATAATTTATTTGTGGAGACCAAAGCCAAGAATCTTATTTCCAGGATCTTTAGCTTTCTATCTTCAACCCCCAGTTATTCCCTCCCAAACACAGATTAGGCCAATCTATAGCTCCAAGAAGACATTTGAAAGCTTTGAATATGATTAAGAAGAAGTAAGATCTTGGAAATACTCAAGCACAGAATCTCTTTGCCTTTCATTGGAGGAGCGAATATAGCTTTTAAAGAAGTCAGAAGAAAGTGATTGCTTTAATGCAGAGCAGTTATTGTCCTGGTGAAGTCAAAAGCCCTCCTTTCAAATAATTTTTGAAGGAAACATGGCCATACATGCCAAGTAGTGTAAACCAAAAGAGCAGTTTTCTGCTCATTGGAGCAATTCTTTTTATACTGTTAGTTTAAACAGAGTATATATAACCATAGTGTTTATCCATAATGTTTAATCCTAAAACGCAGTGCCGTATTATTCCATTACTGCAAAATGAAATCCTACTAAAATCTTCAAGCTTGATTTGGTTGTGCATATAAGATTTTATTTTGTCTGTTTCGAAGAGTGCCAAATATGTTGAAACTGATCATGTACTGCATCCTGGTAGCCAATATAATGGATTTTTGTCTTATTTGTCATTCTCTCCCTGCTTTTTTTCCTTTCCGGACGACTGCTTTTTGTCATTGCACTTTAATTACCATCAAAATAAGATACAGGCAGTCCTCAATTTACAACTATTCATTTAGTGATATTTTGACGTTACAATGGAGCTGAAAAAAATGATAGTTGTTCACACTTATGACCATAGCAGCATCCCCATGGTCATGTGATCAAAATTCGGACTGGCAACTGGCATGTATTTATAGTGGTTGCGTATCCTGGGGTCTTATGATCACCTTTTGCAACCTCCTGATAAGCAAAGTTAATGGGGAAGCTAGATTCACTTAACAATTGCATTACTAACTTAACAACTGCAGTCACAATTGCGGTGATTCATTTAACAACTGTCTCACTTAACAACAGACATTTTGGGCTGAATTGTGGTCATAAGTTGAGAACTACCTGTAAAGGGATTCTATGGGTCCGGTACCCTCCAAAAAGTTTGTGAGTGAGTCTCCCCACCTTTTATATTTGGCTATTTGGTTAAAGTTTAAACATACTATGACTATGTGACCCTGCTCCATGTTTCTCTTTTATAGATTAGCCATATAGTAGCTCGTTTTATTGTGCTTTGCAAATATTGCGTTTTTTACAAGACCTTCCATCAGCAAAAAGGTTATCACTCACTGAAGGCTCAGATGATGTTTAGCTTTTTTAGCAATAAAGTAGTTTTAATTAAGGTATGTACTGTACATTGGGGTTTTTTTTTACACAAAATGCTATTGCATTCTTAATAGACTACAGTGTGGTATAAATATATCGGTTATATGTACTGGGGGAAAAAATAATTCATTGGGAAACAAAAAAAAATGTGACTCACTTATTTGCAATATTCACTTTATCATGGTGGTCTGGAACTGAACTCCAATATTTCTAAGGTGTATCTGTAGTTAAATAATACAAATTAATACTACCTAATTTTACAATGTAAATCCTGCAATAAAAAGTGCTCTTACTGTGACAACAATATTTCAATATTTTAGATACCAGAACAATTTTCTACTAACAAGAAGATTCAGGGACCTGTGGTGTTCTTGGAACAGCTGGTTGTTTATTAATATACAGGTTGAACAGGTTTATTCAATGCATGTATCAAAGAAAGTCAAAAAAGTTAATGTTTTCCTAAGATTGTCTTAGCCTTTGAGTGTCTGGCTATGCTCAATAGGAGTAAATCCAAATACCTGCCTTCACTTCTCCAAGTCCTTTCTTTGAAATTTAGAAAAAAAAATATCAATGGAAATGGACTATATATGGGACCAAGAACCAAATCTGAATTCCAGTCAAAATTCATCAAAGAAAACGTTTTCATTTTAATGCAAGAGTTCTGCCCTCCAATATACTAATAAATAATTGCCCTGCAATAATTAAGTAATAAGCATCTGAGCTTCTGATCGTGTGATGTACTTTTTCTATGCAAAATTGCAAATCCAAATCTACGAAATCATAACGATGACATTTGGGGTTTTGAGCAAGTTACTTAAACGAACTACTTTGTTAATCAAGGTCCAGAAAACATCGTTTGAAGGCAGGACTGCAGGGGAGTGTTTTCTTCCTAGTTAAAGGGAAGAGGGGGTTTTGAAGACTGAGCTTGTGTATATTTGTATAATTGTGTATAATTTAAAACTTTACAAAGCCGGTATTAATGGCATATCTTTGAGAGGAAAAATAAGTTCAGGCAAGTTTGAATGCCAGCAACTTTTTTTTTTAAAGAGTTTAATTTCTACCCAACCCAATATCAAAGATTGTGCCAAGTGTTACAAAACATGTATTTCAAAAGGCAAGGCCCTCCCTATTTGGCTGGAACAGAAAGGTTGAATTCAGTTCCTCTTAAATACTCAACAATCAGTACAGGCTAAAGCTTCTCTGCTGCTCCACTTATTTGCTTCTGCTCCAGTTCCCAAGCCAGAACCCACCAGAAGGCCAGCCAGCTTCATCCAAACCAAGGTAAGTATTCCAGACAGCTGAGATGCTTCCCGCTTGGCTGCATTTTGCAAAAGGAAGGAGGAATATGGGTCATGTAAAAAGTTTTGAACCAGGACTTGTGGGTTCTTTGTGAAGGGGCTGTCTTAAGACCCAATATCTGTGGATACAAATTGGTGAGTATTGTTGTTTTCTTTTAAAGGAGGGGCAAGCATGTGAAGAGTAAAGCTGCTTTGATTATCTCTTGAACATTTTTTTTCACATCTCCCATGACTGTTCCCATAAGGGTAAATAGATGCCAAATTAGCAGTTTCTAAGGAAAACATTTAAAAATATGGCATATTTGGACAACAAGTTAGAAGTGTGCTTTATTTTTTTCTATTCCTTCTCCATGTCTTCCCCACTATCTATCTCCTCCAGCTGACTTTTCAATCCTGTGTCCAGGGTGACAGGACTATCTTTATATGTCAGATGCTCTCAGCATTTCGGGGTGCTACTGTTGGCTGCCACTCTCACTAGGCTCTGAATCCAGGACAGCTGCTGGGTTGGATTGCAAATCTCTTGACTCTTGGAGAAAAGAGTTGTGTCTCCTCCCCTTGCCATCCTCCCCTTTAATCCTTTCACAGCCAAAATGAAGCCAGAACAAGAAGAGGCGCGCCCTCCATTGGTCCCTATTAAGGGGATCCCCATGATAAAGTATTTTGCAGAAATCTACGATGAAGTGGAAAGATTTCAAGCACATCCAGATGATTTATTGATCTCTACGTATCCCAAGTCTGGTGAGTGATGCCTTTGGCTGCATTTTCATAAACGGAGAATAGAAGTTCTGGGCATTCATGTGTGGAAAATTTCTAACTCTCTACTTTCCCTTTGTTCTATCAACACACAAGACAATACGTTCCAGGCAGCTGGAAAGCAACTTTTTTCTTTGAGAGGCTGTTTATATATGCCTGAATAAAGAACTATCTCCTTATGTTACATCTGATCTGCATCCTAATGATTTATTGCCCGTAGTTTTGCATCATGAAGATATTTTTCTTTCTATTAATTTTCTTTTTTGAAAAAACATATTCTGTCTTGTTTCCTGAATTATAGCAAACTCTTAACAGTTTGCTAAGCATTAGATTTTACAACAAGACATATCAATGTTGCTTGAAAAGATTCATCATTACACTGTAGTATAATAAATGGATGCTGTTCCAACTTTCTGTTTTTCCTAGTTTACTTTGCAAAGAAAAGTGACACAAACAATGTTACATAAAAAAGGAGACTGACCATAGGCGCACATTCTCAGTGAAACTTCAGAAATGGAACAATTAAATTTCACACTGAAAACCTCATCTGCAAATATGCATAGGCTAGAGTCCAATTTTCTTGTTAATGTTTTTTATCTTTTAATTCTTGAATTTTAAATCTCCTTGGCCTCGTTTACTCACTGTTAATCAGATCAAAGTGCATTCAGCATAGCCAACCTGCAATTTAATATAAAACAAACTATTTTATGATATATTATGAAGGTAATTTCATCTGTCACTTAAAATACATTTTTGCTAAAAGAGACACAATCAGCATGAAATTGCAGGCAAGACTGCGTAGCAAGACACCTCTGGATAACTGCCAAATATTTATTAGCAGAACTCTCATTTGATAAAAAAAAAAGTGGGTGAAATGTTTCTTTGATATGCTGTTGTTAGCTACTGGAGGCTGCTCTTTTAAGTGGTGTGTATGAGGGAGAACTGAGTGTTTAATATGCATTCTAACACTGCCTGTTTGTCCATCCTCCCTTCTAAGTTTCTTTCATGTGCATGGGGCATAAAAATCACATTTCTAATAGGAGGAAAGCTGCTTCTGCTCATGATTGTCCAGAAAAGCAGATAGTCCAAGACCAGGGGTAGGCAACCTTGGCTCTTTTATGACTCGTGGACTTCAATTCCCAGAATTCCTGAGCCAGCTGTGCTGGCTCAGGAATTCTGGGAGTTGAAGTCCACGAGTCATAAAAGAGCCAAGGTTGCCTACCCCTGGCCTAGACCAATGAGCCAGCCACCTGTTCTCTTCCCTAGCTTCAATTCTTCACTGAAAAATTTATTTTCCAAAGGCATTTTTCATTTTCCAAATACATTCTGTCATTGTTGGCACTTTTATAGATCACTTTCTTTACAACTCAGGAAACTCATTAGGATATTTCCCCAGCTTTATCAACATCATCCCTTCTTTGCCCCAAGAAAAATCTTAGGTTTTAGATTTTTCTTCTGCTCAGGCCAGAATTTGGGAGAACAAGCAGCCAAGATTACTCTAGCTGTACTAAGGACAGATGCAAAGTGGAACAGCCAATTCTAAACATAACTGTAATAATTTGTTTAAACTAATAAAAACTTTCCTAATATGTTAAACTGGCTGATTAAACCAATAACACTTTTCCTCAAACATTAAATGAGGTACACTTGTTATCTTAATATGTCATGAATTGGAATGTGGAAATAAATTTTCTCATTATTTAAGATGAGGCAATCTGAATATTCTGTCTTCCACCTCACAAAACTGGAGTAGGGCAAGCTCTAGTTTTGAAGGTGAAAGACAGAATGTGCACATGGAGAATCAGTGGATATGCAGAGCTTTCCCAGACAAAGACCCAGATTGAGAGAGTGCAAGGGCTCTTAATCCAGGCTTTTCTGGGCCTCTCTAGGAGTGACATGATAGCAGTGTTTCAATATTTGAGGGGCTGCCACAAAGAAGGCACCAGAAAGTGCCAGAAGACAAGAAACAATGGATGGAAAGTAATCAAAAAGAGAAGCAACCTAGAATTAAGAAGAAACTTCCTAATAGTGAGAACAATCAACCAGTGGAACAGCTTGGCTTCATTACTGGAGGCTTTTAAGAAGAGACTGGATAGCCACTTGTCTGGAATGGTATGGGGTCTCCTGCCTGAGCAAGAGGTTAGACTAGAAGATCTCCAAGGTCCCTTTCCATTCTGTTATTTCATTATTCTGTTATTCAGTCCCAAAATGGATTAGGATGGGGGGAAGATGTTCAGGATAGCCACACACTAAAAAATTTTCAGGATAGATATAGTAGGTTAGAAAGTTATTGCTTTAGTTTGACAAGATTCTGCTCATTAGCTGTAAGCAAATACAGGATTGGACCCAATTGGATTTCACTGGGTAGTCTTTAGGCTTGAGCCTGACAATAATAAACTCTTTTCTTTCTGTTGAACTGAACTCATATCTGCCATCCTTGACTTGGAAGAAAACTGAATCAGCGTGAAGTTTGCTCTGCCTGGTGCCCAATCGCTATCCTCCTCTATATTGCTTTTGTTTCATCTCATTTGCAACCATAACAGATTTGTAGGAAGAGAGCCATGTTAACCTGTGGTAGCAAAAAATGTATTTTACTTCTCCACTTGTAACACTGGAAGTGAAGTTTGGTGATCACTAAAGGGCAGGATTAGGGAAGCATTTAGGGGCCATCTTAGATGGACAGGGATATCCTGCCACTCCTGATTGGCATTTGGAGCAGAAAATTTTGTTCCAATATAATTTTATGACAATTCAAGAATAAAGTGTTGAGTGGAAAAACACCCTCAGGAAATAAAGTGGATATAGAAAGTCTATCCACCCTTGTTAAAATGCCAGGTTTTAAGATATAAAAAAATCAGACCAAGATAAATCACTTCGTAAGTTTTACTACCTTTAATATAACATACAGATAGTCCTCAACTAATGAACATAATGGAGCTCAACATTTCCGTTGCTAAGCAAGACAATTGTTTAGCAAGCGTTCCATTTTATGATCTTTCTTGCCTTTTGTTTTCAATGCCTTTTGTTTCTTTCCCTCCCTTTCTTCACACTTGTTTTGTTTTCCCTTTCTCTACTGTTGTCCCCTACTATTTGCTTCTATAAAATTTTCACATTTTATGTTATAAATGAATAAAAGTAATAATAATAATAATAACAACAACAACAACAACAACAACAACAACAATAGATTGGGGGGGGGCATTTCCTGTGTACAGCTCTCTTCAGGTCACTTCACAGATTTTCAATTGGATTCCAATCTGGGCCATTCCAAAATTTTGAACTTCTCCTGGTGAAGCTATTTTGTTGATTTGAAGGTATGGCATGTCATACTGAAAGGTGAAATTCCTCTTCATTTTTTGCATTTTAGCAGAGGTCTGAAGGTTAAGTGCCAAAACTGACCGATATTTGGAACCATTCATAATTCCCTTCACCTTGATTAAAGCTCCAATTTCAGCTGAAGAAAAGCAATCCCAAAGCATAACGCTGCCACCACCATGCATCACTGTGGATATGGTGTATTTCTGATGATGCGCAGTGTTGTGTTTGTGCCAACCATACTTTTTGGAATTACAGTATAGCCAAAAGTTCAACCTTGGTCTCATCAGACCATAACATATTTTTCCACATGCTTTTGTCAGACTTGATGTTCATTTTTGCAAAATGTACGAAGGCTTGGATGTTTTCCTTCTGTCTTGCCACCCTACCCCCAGCCCAGACATATGAAGAATATGGGAGATCTTTGTCACAAGTAGTACACAACTAATACTTGTCAGACTTCCTGCATCTCCTTTAATGTTGTTGTAGGCCTCTTAGCAGCCTCTTGAACCAGTTTTCTTCTTATTTTTTCATCAATTTGGAGAGGCATCCAGTTCTTGGTAATGTCACTGTTGTGCCATTTTCCCCACTTGTTGATGACTGTCTTCATTGTGTTTTGTACAAAAAAATTCCAGTGCACTATGTTCCATAGTTTATCCAATGCTTTGGAAAGAATTTTGTACTCTAGTCCTGACTGATACCTTCCAACAATGAGATCTTTTTAATGCTTTATAAACTCTTTGCAGACCTTAGCTTTTGCTGTAAAAGGCAACTGAGCACATTCCAGCACATATGGCCTTGATCAGAGTCACTTTAATTGATGGCAGATTTGTACTGGCTACTATTTGACATAGTTTGAATATAATTGGTTAATTCTGAACATACCCACATCCTTACTCATAAGAGGGTTTGAACACTTATACAGCCACATTATTCTAATTTTTTATCTATTTTTTCCCCTGAAAGATTTCAGCTTGTTTTTCAATTGAATTGTACAGCTTATGTATTATATTAAAGGTGGAAAAGTTCTGAAATGATTTATCTTAGTCTGATTTTTTTTACATCTCAAAAACCTGGCATTAGAAAGGTGTGTGTGTAGACTTTCTATAGCCATTGAATACTTTCTAATAGCTAGTAAGAAGAATCATGTTTTGTTTTAGGCACTAACTTGTTTTCTTCATGTAATATAATCTTGGTTCAGCATGTCCAACCTTCTTGTGCTCTTTCAGGTACCACCTGGGTCAGTGAGATTGTAGACATGATCTACAAAGAAGGCATTGTGGAAAAATGCAGAGTTCAACCCATCTACATGCGAGTCCCTTTCTTGGAATTTGCTGTACCTGATGTCCCTACAGGTAAAACATCCTAGATGTCTTCCTTTCCAGACAGTTTGGGAGGAGAAGGATGGAGGTGGAAGTCTAGTCTATATGGTGAATGTGGGGGAAGGAGTGGAGAACCTGGGGGCAGACTCAATAGAGGTATCAGCCTACAGTTTCTGCATAGCCACAAATAGATTAAGTCTAACCTTCTTGAACTTTGTGGACCTTTATCTAGTGCCATTATAGTGCTAACTGTTACTTGAGTAGATTCCTTTGCATAGGTATTAGTAATAAATCAGTTTAATTGGAACTTCACATGTGGCCCTAGTCTTTTGCACCTGACATTGGAATAGAAATGCCAACTGTGAAGATACCATATATATCTGTGAAGATAACAATATAATATGGTAGATTTGCCTGCAGACATCTCCATAGCTTTTCCTAATGTTAGTTGAGAAATCTGCAAGCAAATTTGCCAGAATGTGTCTGGTATGGATAGGCTAATGGAGGGGGAAGGGAGTATGGGAGAAGTCTCTTCAATTATTCTTTTTCCCCTTCCAGGCATTGAACTGCTCAAGGAAGCACCCCGTCCATGTCTAATTAAAACCCACCTTCCTGTCCAAATGCTCCCCAAATCCCTCTTGGAAAAGAATTGCAAGGTGAGAAAAAATGTGACCATTAATGCATGAAGAACTGGCCAATTGAATGCAAGAACATATTGGAAAAAGCTTTTCCACAAATCACTACACATCATGACTTCAGAAATGAAATACATCATCAGCTTAATTAAGTTTCTTGTTTGTCACTCAACAGATTATCTATGTGGCCAGAAATGCCAAAGATGTGGCTGTCTCATACTATTACTTCTACCAAATGGCAAAAGTGCACCCAGACCCTGGAACTTGGGAGGAATTTCTGGAGAAGTTTATGGACGGGAGTGGTAAGTGGATAATAAACCCTTCCAAATATTGACCTTGATGTTAGCCCTTCTTGATACGTTAACTTCAAAATATGATACTGATCCTATTACCTCCAGCTAGCAAAGCAAATAATGGGGTGGCTGGGCACCATTTTGGGGGAAGCCTCTTAAGCCTTGTAGAAGCTCTTGGAATTAGTGAGATGTTTCACAGAAATTCTATGAATGGGAAGGTCAGATCAGGCCTTCTTCTTGTTACCCTTTCTGTTTGAGTGGGCAGATATGTCCATGTAAATATATGGTTCTTTAGTTTGACTATCAACTTCTATAGAGTGTCTAGTCCTGTTTCATACTCCTGATGACCAAACCAAAATAAGTAGTAAGGAAACTGTAGCTTTCTCTATGTTGCACTAAAATTCCCATCATTCACAAGCATTCTGTTTCTCTTCTCAGTGTCTTTTGGATCCTGGTATGATCATGTCAAAGGTTGGTGGGACATCACGAAGAAATACAGGATTCTGTACCTCTTCTATGAAGACATGAAAGAGGCAAGACTCTTTCTGCTCCTTTTATTAACCTTCTTATTCTCTACTACTCTAATTTTCACTTCCCCACATTAAGAGTTAGGAATGGGGCATAGATCTACATGTTCTACATGGCCAATAGGGAGGAGTAGGATGGGACTTTTGTAGCATCTCCAGGGCCAAAAATTCCCAATTCCTCAAACAGATCCCTTATTGTAGCATTCTGATTATAATTAGATGCTCCTGAAAATCTACAAGTAGGAGATGAAGAGGTCAAAACTGTTCTCATCCATTCAAACTTGCTTTCTTTTATTTCCAAATACTTACTCTACTTTGTGTTTGTCCAGCAAGACATTTCTCAGGTTCTTTTCCTAATTATATATCTGTAGAAAGATAGGCCTGGAACTGGATCTACATTTAGACATGCCTGAGAATAGACCCACAGAAACTAAGAGCCATGGCTTATTTCACTAATTTCAACAGGCCTTCTTTATCTAAATCAGAACCATCCCAAAGCTGAATAGAAGACAGTTATACCCATCTCTCTTCTCATTTCCTCCATGCTAATCATCTCCTCAGGATAGCTTGGTTTTGCTTCCAGACTAAAATTTGGTTAGACATACATGGCATTAGATAATACTGGCTGATAATGGAAACTCATGGCTGAAAATTGTGTGCAGATGTATACAACTGCAAAGCATCATAAGGAAATAAGAAGCGTTCTTGGCTGGATTATAACTAGACAGCAGATAGGTAATAGCTGTGAAATTGCAAAGGATATTTTAATTTGTTTTATTTAATATAACACAATATACCACAGCATTCTTCCTAATCCAAAATTCCTGACTTTCAATGCTTGATTGTTGATTGTTGCTTTGTACATAGGATCCAGAACGGGAGATTCAGAAGGTAATGGAATTCCTAGAGAGGCCAGTTGATAAAAACTTAGTCAAGAAGATTGCACACCACACCTCCTTCAAAGAGATGAGTCAGAACCAAATGGCTAATTACAAAAGCATTCCCACTTCAGTTATGGATCACACCATCTCTCCTTTCATGAGGAAAGGTGAGCCTATCAAATAACCAAACTGGGATTGAACGGAGGGCGAGTTATATTTATAATCCGCATAAAGGGCTAAAAAAGTAGCGCTGCCTTATTGACACTGATATGGTCCAAATGTTTTAGATTTTTCAGCCATCCAGATTACAGGTAGTCCTTACAATAGTTCGTTTAGTGACTGTTCGAAGTTACGATGACATTGAGAAAAGTGCCGTATGACCATTTTTCACACTCATGACCATTCATGGGACCAAAATTCAGACAATTGGCAACTAACTCATATTTATGACAATTGCAGTGTCCCGGGATCATGTGAGCACCTTTTGTGACCTTCTGACGAGCAAAGTCAATGGGGAAGCCAGATTCACTGAACAATCATGTGACTAACTTAACACCTGCAATGATTCACTTAACAACTCTGGCACGAAAGGTCATAAAATGGTAAAAAACTCACTTAACCTATGTCTCACTTAGCAACAGAAATTTTGGGCTCAGTTGTGGTCATAAGTCGAGGACTATCTGTACTAGCTCTGCTGGTCAGGGATTATGGAATTTGAAGTCAAGCTTTCTACTCCTAATAAGACCTTGAACTACTTGAGAGAAAATGAAATGTGCAATAGTGGTGAATATCTGACGCTCGGGTGTAGGATGAGGGTGGAGGTTCGTTCTCCGAGCTTGCAGGTTGGTTTCTGAATGTTTTGTTACCAGACTAGATAAGTTTAGGGGATGTCAGTGTCAGTGTTGTTCTGTTTAGAAAGGATTCAGGTGTGGATGTGTCAAGTGAGGGTCTTGTGATGGGTCAGGTGTGAGTCATCAGTGAGTGGCTTGTGATGTGATGGGGAGGTTACTGCAGGGTTAGAGATCAACAATAATTGTACCATGGGGATGTAATATTATTGTTGTAGGCAAATAGGCTATTCTTTGTGATGGTACATATACAACCTATAGAGGTATGGGATTCAACTCCAAGACTTTCCAGAAAGAATGACTATGGTTGATAATGCAATGCAGGGGCTTGGGGAAGACTAACATGTGTCATTGTCAGAGAAGGTTCTAGCTGGGCTCTTGAAGCACTAAACGGCTCTCTTATTTTTGATCCTTTTCCTGGGGATTTCAGTGCTTTTACCGAAACCTCAAGTAGGAAACAGGCAAGTTAGATCTTGAGGTCTGACAATCCTAATCCACATGAAGAAAATATGGCTTGAGAAACTGAGATTGCGTAATGGCACTTGGGATAGATCTTGGGAAACGGGACAAAGGGATGCTGTCAAGGGAATGTTCAAATAAGGGAAAGCATAGCCTGTAGCTGGGGAGTGGAAGGAAGAAAGAGGCTCAGTGAAATCTGAGTTATTTCATATGGGCAGGGCCTTTTTGAGATCCAACAAATGCTTTGCTGTGTATGCATCCCATGCTGGGATTCAACTTTACCTTACCCAGTTTTAAGTATAGTTATATTGCAATAGAAAATAATATATGTTACCCAATTGGGTAATGAAATGTCTGTAAGCAAACAACCAAGCTTAGAGAACACCAAGGACTCCATAGTTCAACCTTGAGCTGCATATATTGTCTTCTCTTGCAAAATAATGACATATAAAATGTTACCTATTTGGGTAATGAAATGTCTGCAAGCAACCACCAGGCCCAGAGAACACCAAGGAAACTAATGTTGGCTATTATTTTCCCTTCAATTTAGGAGTTGCTGGTGACTGGAAGAACAAATTCACAGTGGCACAAAATGAGCGTTTCGATGAGAATTACAAGATGCAAATGAAAGGAACTACACTGCAGTTTCGAACAGAGATATAATTGTCCTTTTTCTACTTGGGTATGCATTTTTTCACCCACATTAAAATAACCCAACACGTTCTATAGACATGTTCTACGTGTCCCGACTATATGTCAGTACACTGAATATATCTCTTGGGGTGTGTGATGGTCCAACAGTATATGGGCTGTCAAGATGTAGTGTGAATAGCAGGCTTGCAATAATTTTGGCTCCTCATGTGGTATCCTGGCCAAAATGTGCCTAAACTAACCATTACTGTACTTCCCATGAGTAGGAAATGTGGCACAGGTACACACCCAAGGGGGATAACCCTAATATCGGCTTTCTCTCTTAGTAAAACACATTAAGTGAAAATCTTAATTGACCAAACCTATAATGGATAGCAGAGATTAAAAAAAAAACCTACAGGTGAATTTCTGTACTTTCACAGAGTGCTTACTAAAGATGGAAAAACAATGGGGAAATTTTAAGACAGATGCTGGTAGAAAAACAGTGGGAAGCCAGCAGTATGTGGCAGCAGCCAAAAAAAGCTAATACAATCCTTGGTTGTATAAACAGGCATAGAATCAAAATCATGTGAAGTATCAGTACTTTATAAAACCTTAATAAGACCACACCTGGAATATTGCATCCAATTTAATAATACTAATACTAATACTAATACTAATACTAATAATAATAATAATAATAATAATAATAATAATAATAATAATAATAATAATAATAATAATAATAATAAAGTTGGAAGGGACCTTGGAGGTCATCTAGTCCAACCCCCTGCTCAGGCAGGAAGCCCTATATCATTTCAGACAAATGGCTGTCCAGTCTCTTCTTAAAAACTTCCAGTGTTAGAGCATTCACCACTTCTGGAGGCAGGTTGTTTGGTCACTACACTACAAAAAAGATGTTGAGACTTTGGAAAAAGTGCAGAGAAGAACAACTAAGATGATTAAAGGCCTGAAACTAAATCATATGAAGAACGGTTGCAGGATTTGGGTTTGGCTAGTCTAGAGAAAAGAAGAACTACGGTGACATGATAGCAGTATTCCAGTATTTGGGGGGCTGCCACAAAAAGAGGGGGTCAACTTATTTTCCAAAGTACCAGAAGGCAAGATAAGAAACAATGGATGGAAACTAATCAAGGAGAGAAACAACCTGGAATTAAGGAGAAACTTCCTAACAGTGAGAACAATTAATCAGTGGAACAGTTTGCTTTCAGAAATTATGGGTGTTTCATCACTGGAGGATTTTAAGAAGAGACTGGACAGTCACTTGTTTGAAATGGTATAGGGTCTCCTGCTTGAGCAGGGGCTGAACTAGAAGACCTCCAAAGTCCCTTCCAGATTCTATTCTATTCTGTTATGTTCTATTCTATATATATATATATTTGAAGAAAGCCAGAATGACTATGAATGAGAGTGGGCTTCTGCCCTCTTTGTTATAACTCAGTGATGGCGAACCTTTTAGAGACCGAGTGCCCAAACTGCAACCCAAAACCCACTTACGCATCGTCGGGTGACGGGTGGGCGTGGCCCATTGGGTGGGTGTGGCTGCGGTGGTAACGGCAGACTGGGACTAAAAAGTTCAATCAATCAATTCCAACTTTGCAAGATCTTTTTTTCCCCCGCAAGAAGTTGAAATTGACTGATTGATTGAACCTTTTTTTTTTTTTGCATGCGGAGGCCTAAAGCGAAAAGGTTTTATAAAATCCAGCTGAAGGCCTAGTACTGGGGTGACGGCGTGCATGCCCACAGAGAGGGCTCTGAGTGCCGCCTCTGGCACCCGTGCCATAGGTTCGCCACCACTGTTATAACTTATATGAAAATGGGAATTGGCAGTGAAGTGGGAGTACGATATTTCTGAATGTGCATGGTAGGATAAGGAGTGATAGTTCCAGCCTGATAGGATCAAGAGTGAATGGGTACTGAATGAATATGTATTGAATACAAAAGTGAATACTAATACAGTGTAAAAGAAATACTGTACAGTAAGGTATTTAGATCATACATTATAAAGAGTAGGGATCTGCAGTGCTTTGGATCCAAACAGAAAGCATGAAATCTCCAGAAAATCTGGTTGAGGGAGTGACACTGACAACAGCTTTGAAGCAGGGCTTGTGATCCCCAAATGCCACACTAGTTAGCAAATAACATCTTTCATAGTAGTCACATTATTCCAGATATAGTGTATATCGTAGTATATTAGAGCTGTGGTGTTGCAGTGGTTAGAATGCAGTATTGCAGGCAAACTCCATAGCCAGGAGTTTGTTCCTGACCAACTCAAGACTGACTCAACTTTACATCCTTCCGAGGGTCAGTAAAATGAGGACCCAAATTGTTGGGGGGAATATGCTGACATTTGTAAACTGCTCAGAGAGTGCTGTAAAGCACTATGGAGCGGTATATAAATGTAAGTGCTATTATTATATTGCAGGTAGAGCTCCAACAGCATGTCTGTTCCTGCTCCAGGCAGTTGATTCCCCGTCAGTGTTTTCTTTCCTCAACCTTATTTTCCGGGGATTGCACACAAGGAGAGTAGTTTAAAGAACAAAGGGCAATTAATAGGTGTGACTGCAGTTTGTAAGGATAGGGTAATATGAAAAGATATAACAGCTGGTGTGGTCGTGTGCATTTTTTTTTACTTATGTCTGGATTGTTTAATGATAGAGCTTCCAATCCCAATTAGCCCTGTTAATCAAGGACTACCTGTCCTGACTCTCCACTCACTTTCTGTTTAATCTCTTTTCTATTTTAGTGAGGATCGTCTTGTGTTACCTGTGAGAACTGAGATGGTATATAGATGAAGATCAAGACAAGTTGCCATTGGGCTCCCATCAAGAGAGGGAAAAACCTAGTTAACATCAAAGCCATGCCAAGAACCAAAATGAACTCCAATCTGCATTTTTATTTATGATGTTACTACTTTTTAATCACTGATCTCTTTCCATGTGATCCAAAAATTCAAAGACATTTAAGAACATCTAGTTCTTATATTTGTGAAAGGGATGTAGCTTGTTCCTTCCTTCCTTCCTTCCTTCCTTCCTTCCTTCCTTCCTTCCTTCCTTCCTTCCTTCCTTCCTTCCTTCCTTCCTTCCTTCCTTCCTTCCTTCCTTCCCTTCCTGATAACATGCAGATTTTGCATTAAAATTTATGTTCCGGGTAAACAATGCAGAATAAAAGTCTCACCTGAAACTGCCCTGTGACTCATTTTCTTTTGGTCTTATAGAATTTTAATAAATAAGCGTTATGCAACTTATAATATAAGCTTTAAATTATAAGCTATTTCCATCTTTATGAAATCTGATCAAGTTTAAGAAACATGTAACCCCGAACATGTCTTCCCGCTTTATAGTTCTGTTTTCTCCCTATCTGAAATTGAAAGATCTCCTCAGGAAAATGCTCTCGACAAATGGAAGAGGAACATATACAAGTAGTTCTCAAATTATGACTATAATGGAGCCTGCCCATCATAGACGTAAGTCGTGAGGGGTTGTAAAATGCATTTGGTCATGTGATGATCCAATTTTACGATCATTTATGCAGTGGTTGTTAAGCGAATGACATAGTTGTTAAGCAAACCAACAGTTTGCAGTGGGTACAATTTTGGCAAAACCCAGAAATAAATGCCAATTTTCAGCACAACCGTTGTAAAACATGGCTATGTCTTCGCAAGACACTGCAAACTGCCATAAATGAGGCTCGGTTGTTGAGGGCCTGAATTTCAGTCACATGACTGTTGGGGAGACCATCTGTCAAGACTGCTTTGTACTTTCACCTATATTCCACTTGATCACAGCTTGACAAAGAAAAGGGGGGAGGTGGGACGGAATGCAAGGGTGGGGAGAATTGCATCTGAGTATCGCTGGTTCCCATGAGACAGTGCTCCAACCCAAGGACACATCGAGTAGGTGGGCTAGTGTGGCTCACTGATTCCCATAACAAAATGAACAGAACTGACTGGTGAAGTAATGGATTGTGGGTGGCCCATAGGGAAAGGGGGGAATTAACTATGCTAGCTTTTGCACAGGAAACCCAGAGCTGGTTTTGCTTCATCTGTGCTTATATGATTTATTCAGTAAAGTTCATACTCTTGGTAAAATAATGCCCCAGGAGTTTCTTCTTCTGGATCCGCCAACTGGACAGTTCACACCGTCCATTCAAACTTTGAATCTGGGTCATAAGTAGTCCCAAAAAGATCTTTTGTCACTCTGAATGGTCGCTAAGTGATTGGTTGTAAATTGAGACTACCTATAGAAGACTGAGTTGGGCTTATAAGTTTGGTACACAACTTAAAGCATTATTAACAGCATGTCTTTGATCACAGCTTTGATCACAGTCTCCAACCTATGGGCCACGGCCCATTACTGGGCCCTGGCCTTTTGGCCATCAGGTGGCGTGAGTGGCTGGCCAGTGCACTTGCGCCTGTGCGCACGCTCACCCCCTGCCCTTGGGCTATTGCTAGCCGAGCTGTGAGCCTCTCGCTGGCACTAGGCGAGCCACGAGCCTCTCACAGATGCTAGCAGCCCCATTTGCAGAGTATGCATGCTCACGGCCCTGTTCGCGCATGCACATGCAGCCACATTTGCACATGTGCGCATGTGCGCATAAAGGCGCTTGTTCCTCCCTTTCCCACTGGGCCGCCAACCAGAAATGTTGGCGATCCCTGGATTTAGAGACGAGATGAACTCTAAAAAAGATTTTAAAATTAATTATAAGAATATTTCCTTTTGGTTGTTTAAATATTTATAAATATATATATTAAAATTTTAAAACTAACTAATCTTCCTGTGGGAAGGAGTTGATTCGGGAAAAAACATGATAGGAGGGGACTTTGAAGGTTGACTAGAGGGAATCAGAAAGAAATAAAAATTGTAATTAAGGAAGAAGAGATCCATTAATACAGAAAGGGGCAATATTATTTGTGTGTGGAAAAAGTCAAGAGTTAATAATGTCTTTATAATTAAAGGGGATATATATATATATACTCGAGTATAAGCCGAGTTTTTCAGCCCATTTTTGGGGCTGAAAAATGCCCCCCTCGGCTTATACTCGAGTCAGCGTCTCGAAGCAGCTGCTGCTGGCGCCGCCGCCGCCAGGCAAGCCACGGCGGCTCGCCGCTCGCTCCCCCTCCCCTGGCGCTGTGCTCCGCCTGCTTGCCCGGCGGCGGCGGCNCCGCCCAGCTCGTTCCCGGTGTCGCCCCGGCCTGTGATGCTCCAGGTACGGCCCTCCCCCCTTACCTTCCGTTCCCTGCGGCGCTGCGTGTCGAGGCCAGGACAGAATACCCCGGGCCGCCGCAGCCCAGCGCGAGGGGGAACGCCAGACGCCTCACGCAAAGGGGGGAGGCCTGGCGACGCTGCGCGCTGCCGGGCGCTCACTGACAGGGCCAGGGGGGCCGAGGCGGCCAGGGAGGAACAGCCAACTGCCGGCAACCAGCCGGAACTGCTGGGGCCGGCCCGTATTGAAGAATACGGCCGAATTTACCCGGGCTGGCCAAGAAAGGTGCACCTCCAGCCTTCCCCGCAACCGTATGTGTTCTTTGTGGGAAAATCGGTCCCTCGGCTTATATTCGGGTCGACCTATACTCGAGTATATACGGTAATAAATCAGAAGAATGACTTGGAAAACTTTCCTATGTGGAATTTACAAAAGAATCATGTTGAATTTAGGAAGGAGTTTCTGAGAAGACAAAAAGATAATAAATCAATTTATGGGACACTCTTTCAAGGGTTTAAATATCAAGACTCTTAACAGTAAATAGAAGGAACACAAAATTGATTTGTTTCATCAAGATTAACATTTATGTTGTTCTTTCTGATACCCCTGAATGGATTTCTCCTGACTTGGATGAATTACCAGGCTTTAAAGATATATGTTTATAAAGAAGAGATATAATAAAGAAAGAATAATTCTTTTGTGCTATTTTTAGTGAATGTGAAATATATCAATATTAAAAAAGTAAAAAAAGTAAATATAAAACCGATTTATTTGATTAAGCTTAAAATATGTACACTGTTGGTAACTTTTAATGGTCTCTTGCTGATTGGGACTGAATGACGAAGCTTTATAACTTGTTTATAGAGATGAGATTTGGGAAGAAGAGCTCTTTTGTTGAAATACAAGATAGTAATAAGTTAAGCAAAATTGTTCAGAAAGGCTGAATTCCATTCCTCTTAAATACTTGAGGTTCCTCCCATTTCCAGCAAAGTTTTGTTGCTGCTCTACTTACCGGACCTAATTTTGCTCCCGTTCCTGAGCCAGAAACAGCCAGCAGGCCAGCCAGGTATCTTCAAACCAAAATAAATACTTCAGGTCAGCTGAGATACAGCTTGCTTTGCTGCATTCTGCAAAAGGAAGGAAGGGTAGAGATTTTGAATCAGGACTTGTGAGTTCTTTGGGAAGGGGAAGTCTTAAGACACCCCCCAAAAAAAATATTTGAAGTACATATTGGGTGATTAGTGTTGTTTTCTTTGAAAGAGGGGAAAGCACTTAAAAAGTAGAGTTGCGTTGATTATCTCTTAAGCAATTTTTTTTCTCATACCTGCTGATTCCAACAAGAGTAAATAGAAGCCAGACTAGCAGCTTCTTAGTAGAGCATTTGAAAATGTAACAAATTTGGACAACAGGGTTAGAGACCTGATATATTTTTCTGTTCTGTCTATGTCTATGTTCCTTGCTATGTCTTCCTGACTATCCACCTTCTTCAGGGGACAATTCAATCCTGTGTCCAGGGTGACTTGATTATCTATATATATATAAGATGTTCTCAAACATTTGGGGGTGCTACTATCAGCTGCCACTCTCACTAGGCTCTGAATCCAGGATAGCTGCTGGGTTGGGTTGCAAATCTCTTGACTCTTGGCGAAAAGAGTTGTGTTTCCTTCCCTTGCCATCCTCCCCTTTAATCCCTTTACAGCCAAAATGAAGCCAGAACAAGAAGAGGCGCGCCCTCCATTGGTCTCTGTTAAGGGGACTCCTTTGATAAAGTATTTTGCAGAAGTCTACGATGAAGTGGAAAGATTTCAAGCACATCCAGATGATTTACTGATCTCTACATACCCCAAGTCTGGTAAGTAATGCCTTTGGCTGCATTTTCTTGAACAGAAAATAGAAGTTCTGGGCATTCATCTGTGGACAATTTCTAACTCTCTACTTTCCCTTTGTTCTATCAACACACAACACAATACATTCCAGGCAGCTGAAAGCAATTTTTTTTTTGAGAGAGACCCTTTTAGCTAGGTCCTTCTTGAAAGAAAATAAAGATAGTTTGGAACAATTTAGTTTTAAAGTCAACAGGAAGCCGATATAACTCAACCAAGTTCCTTTATATGTTTTTCTCATAAAAATAATAAAGAGGAATATATAAGAATGGAAACCATGAAAAATAAATAATATTTGTTTGTAAAAATGTCATAAATTGGAAATTAGAAAAGTAGCATTGACTATATACTGAATTATTAGTCTCTAGACATAACCTGTCCATATTTAAAATATACCAATTCACAGATGAAGGACTTTAAACAGATAGAAATCCAGTTTGTATGCACTGCATATGAGTGTTATTAATGAATATGCTAGTAACATGGTTGTGAAAATTAGACATTGAAAAAGAGAAAAATAAGACACCTTCACATTATGGATTTGGAGGTAATTACTAAGAATATTGTGGACTTCAAAAAGAACAATTTAGTTAATTCAAAAAGCTGACTGCTCTCTAGGAATTATATTTTAGGCATGATATGAGCAGAGGATGGACTAGAAAAATGCTTATATAAAACAATGGGTAGAAATAGATAAGGTGGATGGAAGGCATTACTGAAATGTCCTTGGAAGAGTGTGACAGGTTTGTAGGTGGTGATTTGTAGTGTAGGGAATTTGTATTGATAGCATCTATCATGTCTTATATTCTCTTTTTTCCCCAAAGTTTCTCACATATTTACTAACAATAATTAAGTGCAATTTTATAAATGCCTTTTCAGAACTAAGTACTGTAAGAATTTCTCTCAGATAGCTGTAGGCCTCTACACGTATTTGTTTGCAAGTTAAACTGAACTCAGTGGGACATCTGAATAAAAGTGCTTATTAAAAAAGTATGTTATAGATCAGTGATGGCGAACCTTTTTGAGACTGAGTGCCCCAAAACTGGCCCCACCCCCGCCATGCCCCTGCCACGCTCCCATTCCACCACACCCTGCCTGCACGCAGGGCCACTCACTGCCTCCAGGGCCCGCCACAGATCGCCCAGGCAGCCCAGCAGTGCCATGGCTGCCACGCCCTCTGCCCACACCCCGCAGCATCAACTGTGCGCGTTGGGGCATGAGGGCAGTCTTGTCTACGCTGGCTGGCTGCCATGTTCTTGGCTGCTGCTCCGCATGCGCCATGCTCAGGGGCGACTCTCCTCCAGGGAGGCTGCTGGTGAGGAGGGGGTCGCGGGTGGAGGCAAGGCTGGGGCAATGGCATGTGTGCCCACAGAGAGGGCTCCGAGTGCCGCCTCTGGCACCCGTGCCACAGATTCGTCACCACTGGTATAGCTCCTCCTGCTTGAGCCTGGGGCTGGAGTAGAAGACCTCCAAGGTCCCTTCCAGCTCTATTCTATTCTGAAGTTACTGATCTTTATCCTCCTCCATCAGGGTTGCCAGTGCTGGGTTTTAAGCCCACATCTGGTTTTTTGGATCCCTGACTGGGTTTCTATATTTTTTATTGTAAAATCTAAGCTTTTCTACACATTATTTTATATTGTATGCATTATATAGGTAAAATAATTTAGTTTGAACCTGATTTATTGTGGACATTGTTATTTGAGATTTTTGTTTAGAATCTGGGTTCATTTGAATGTGAAACTGTGATTAAACAGATAAAATAATTTAGTTTAAAAGTTTTGTGGTAGGTTTTTTGTTTGTTTATTATCTGGTGTTTTGGGGTAGAATCTTTTGACTTTATTTGAACAAAAGACTTAGATTGGAAATCCCACTGGCAACTCTGTCCTCTATTGCCTTCACTCAGTGGTGGGATTCAAATATGTGAACAACTGGTTCTCTGTTTGGATGCCACTTCCGGAAGTCCTTCTGGGCCTGGGCAACAAAAAATTAGTTACCGGTTCTGCCGAACTGGTGCGAACTGGCTGAATCCCACCATTGCCTTCGCTTCAACCCCTTTGTCTCCATTGTAGATTATATAGCAAGAGAACCACATTTGCCTGTGGAAGCAAAAAATCTATTTTGCTTCACCACTCATAACACTGGAAGCAATTTTGGTGATCACCAAAGGTGAGATCAGAAGATATTTATTGGCCATTTTATGTGGATGGGATATCCCACCACTCCTGATTGGCACCTGGAGTAGAAAATTTCATTCCAGTTTAGTTTTCTGACAACTTCCGGCAATTCAAGAATGAAGTGTTATGAGTGGAAAAAAACCATCTACCTCTAGGGGTAGCTATATGAAAAATCCTGTTTTGTTTAGGCAATACATTACATCCAAACTTCTTATGCTGTTTCAGGAACTACCTGGATCAGTGAGATTATGGACATGATCTATAAAGAAGGCAGTGTTGAAAAATGTGCACTTAAACCCATCTATGTGAGAGTCCCTTTCTTGGAATTTGCTCTGCCTTGTCTTCCTACAGGTAAAATCATAGGAATCCTCTTCTCTAGAAAGCAATTTGGTAGGGGGGATAGAAGTGGAAGTCTAGCCTTTATGATGTGGAGGTAGGAGAATGAGTGGCATAACCTGGGAGCGGAGTCAAAAGAGGAATCAGCCTAGCATCTCTACATAGCCACAAATGAACTAAGTCCAACCCTTCTTGAATTCTGTTGACTTTTATCTAGTGCCAATATAGTGCTAACTATTAGATTCCTGTGCATAGATGCATGAGTAATAAATCAATTTAATTGGAACTTCATGTGTGGTCCTAGTCTTTCACACATGACATTGGAATAGAAATGCCAACTGTGGAGATGAGGGTGCAAACCATATAATCTGGGCAATTTGCCTGCAGACAACTTTGAAAGCTTTTCCTAATGCTAGCTGATGATTAGAAAACTCGTCATACCTTGGGTCATCTTTCTTTCCACATATAATACAGACTGGCAGCATTTCCTCTTCCCTTATAACCATAGAAGAGCTCTGATGAAGCTGTCTCCTCCTCCTCCTCCTCCTCCTCCTCCTCCTCCTCCTCCTGGCTGCAATCTTGCTGGGGTAGGGGGAAAAAAGGAGCTGCAGATTGTAAGGTAAATTGCATTTCTGCTCCCTGTTGCGGCATGTTCCCAAGAGCCCCCCTCCCTCCATGGAGGCAGAGGGTTCACCCATCAACTGCCAGCACCCCCCTCCCCCAGATAGGCTTACTTTGCCAGCAGGCATTTGAGTCATGCCCTCATCCTTCCCTTGCCAGCCATTGACAATAAGAGATTGTAAATTTGCTGCTCACCCATCTAGCCTTGCCAGCATCTGATTGGGTGCAGAGGCCAGAGAGAGGTGGGGAAAGGGCATGGATGAGTTCAAGTTGTGCCTTAGCCATGAAAGCCAGCCTAGTGACTTTGGGCCAGTCACTCTCTCTCTCAGCCCAACCCACCTCTCAAGGTTGTTACTATGGGCAAAATAGGAGAAAGGTGTGTTTGGATATGTTCACCGCCTTGAGTTAACTGTAAAAATAATAAAGGCGGGATACAAATAAATAAATATCTATATTAGGGGATCTGCAGGCTAATTCATCCAGAATGCATCTGATTTGGATAGGCTAATGATAGAGGCAGGATGGAAATGTCACTTCAATTATTCTTTTTCCCTTCCCAGGCCTTGAATTGCTCAAGGAAGCACCGCATCCGTGTCTAATTAAAACCCACCTTCCTGTCCACCTGCTCCCCAAATCTTTCTTGGAAAAGAATTGCAAGGTGAGAAAAAAGATGTGACTGTTAATACATGAAGAACCAATAAACTGAAGGCAAGAATATACAGGTAGTCCTTGTCTTACAGCCAGACCTTTAATGACTTTTCAAAATTATGATGGTGCTGAACAAAGAGACTTGCTTTGCCTGAAGTTATCATTGTTGCTGCAACCCCATGATCATGTGATGGAAATTTGGGCCTTGTGGTCCACTTCTCTTTCAAATGCAGAGACACTGCAAATGCCCCAACTTGCCTATCAATCAGAATAGAACTGGAAGGGACATTGGAGATCTTCTAGTCCAATCTCCTGCTCAAGCAGGAGACCCTATACCATTTCAGATAGATGGCTGTCTAGTCTCTTCTTGAAAACCTCAAGTGATTAAGCACCCACAACTTCTGAAGGCAAGCTGTTCCACTGGTTAATTGTTCACACTGTTTGGAAATTTCTCTTAATTTCAGATTGCTTCTCTCCTTGATTAGTTTCCATCCATTGTTTCTGGTCTTACCTTCTGGTGCTTTGGAAAATAAGTTGACCCCCTCCTCTTTGTGGCAGCCCCTCTGATACTGAAATACTGCTATCATGTCCCCCCCCCCAGTCCTTCTTTTCTCTAGACTAGCCAAACCCAAGTCATGCGATGTTCTTCATATATTTTTGTCTCCAGGCCCTTAATCATCTTAGTTGCTCTTCTTTGCACTTTTTCCCAAAGTCTCAACATCTTTTTTGTAATATGATGGCCAAAACTGGATGCAGTATTCCAGGTGTGGACTTACTAAGGCTTTATAAAGCGGTACTAATACTTCATGTGGTTTTGATTCTGTGCCTCTGTTTAAACAACCAAGGATTGTGTTAGCTTTTTTGCCTGCTGCTGCACATTGCTGGCTCATTTTTAAGTGTTTGTCCACTAGAAGTCCAAGATCCCTCTCACAGTTACTGTTTTTGTTTCCTAAGTCTCTGCACATCTCAGCCCCCACCTATTCCACCAGCGCATTCAGAACTGACATAGTCCTAGAAACCTTAGTCTGCTTCTTGCCCTTATCAGGCTTGGGAAGCCTTCTGAGTTACAGTGCCCACCAGCATATTCAAATTGGCTCACTTACCTTTATAATGTGTCTGCAGGTATTGGCAGGCATGCCCACAAGGCACAGCCTTCCTATCCATGTCACTTGCGTCATTTTGCAAGTATGTGCCATTTTCACAATGGTTTGGAAGCCTTACAAAGCAGAAGTCTTCCTACTGGGTTTCTTCTTCTCAGAAGGAGGCTTCCAAAACACTGTGAGGGCAGGCACCATTTTTGCAATCATTCGGAAGGCTTCCAAAATATTGAGAGAATAGCACATGTTGCAAGGTGGCCTCGGTGGGAAGGCTGTCTCTTGTAGATGCTGGGCATGCCTGTCAACAGTTACAGAAAAATTGCCGAAATAAGTGGAGCAATTTGCCTGCACTGGTGGCCCTATAAGAGTTGAGGCCTCCTGTACCTGGGGGGATGGGGACCAGGCCCTGGCAGCCCAGGCTGCAACAGGTTTCTGTGCAGTGTTGGGCCCTGTAACCCATGGAGGCCTCCCAGGCTACAGTAGGTTTCTGCATGTTGGTGCCCTATAGTCCAGAGTTTCTCAACTTTGGCAACTTTAAGATGTATGGACTTCAACCCCCCAGCATTCCCCAGCCAGCATACTGGGAATTGAAGTCCATACATCTTAAAGTTGCCAAGGTTGAGAAACACCACTGCAGTCTATGCTGGACCTCAAGACTCTTCTCCCCTCTAGAGACACACCTGCACTTTGCTTAAAGAACTGCGCTTTGCTTAAAGATCTCAAGTGGGAGTGCCAGGATTGTGATTGTTGAGCCAAGCAGTCACATGGGCGTCTCACTTAACCGTTTTGCACAACAACCGAGATTCCAGTGCCAATTGCAGTCATAAGTTGAGGATTCCCTGCATTGGAGAACACCCTTCCACTTGTCCTTTTACATGTTATCTTCGAAATGAAATACATTATATAGATCAGCTTAATTAGCCTTCTCGTTTGCCGCTGGACAGATTATCTATGTAGCCAGAAATGCAAAAGATGTGGCTGTCTCGTTTTATTACTTCTACAAAATGGCAAAACTGCACCCGGAGCCTGGAACATGGGAGGAATTTCTGGAGAAATTTCTGGATGGGAATGGTAAGTGGCTAGTAAACCCTTCAAAGGCATTGAGCCTGGATATTAGCCCTCCTCAGTTCAAGGTGCAGTATGATAGTGATCCTATTACCTGCAGCTAGCAGAGCAAATTATGGGGATAGCTTAATGCTTCTTAGGGCATCATTGTGGGGGAAGCTGCTTGAGGTCTTCTACTACTGATGGGTTTCACAGCTTGAAGTTCTGTGAATGGGAAGGTCAGATCTGGGTCTTCTTCTTCTTACCCATTCCTTTTTAGCAGGCAGATAAGTTCACATAAATATATGGTTCTTTGTATAAAGTTTGACTACCAACTTCTACTAGAATCACTAGCTCTGTTTCATGCTCCTGATGACCGAACCAAAGTAAGTAGTAAGCAAACTGTAGTTTTCTCTATATTCTTGCACTAAAATTCCCATCATTCACAAGCATTATTTCTCTTTTCAGTGTCTTTTGGATCCTGGTACGATCATGTCAAAGGTTGGTGGGACATCAGGGAAAAATACAGGATTCTGTACCTCTTTTATGAAGATATGAAAGAGGCAAGACTCTTTCCGCTCTTTCTATTAACATTGTTATTCTTTGCTACTCCACTGTCCACTTTTTCTCCCCACCTTAAGAATTAGATATGAAGTCTAGACCTTCTCATGTTCTCCTAGTCTAAGTCTTGCATACATTTTCAACCTTCATTAATCAAAGATACACATGAGGACCGATTATAAAATGCTGTAAAACATGTCATAGCAGCCATGGCAGCTGTCCTCAAGCTAAATTCCTTCTAATTATGTGGAGAACAATTCCAGTTATGCTCAGATAGATTGGAAAAATAGCCTTGTAGGCGGAAGATCGTGAGAGGCTTAAGTTGATTAAATCTCCAAGCCAACTTTATGGCTAAATTGCAGATGATGCCTTCGGAACAATGAGAAAGGAAAAAGATATCCTCTACAATTACTCCCTTCTGGGTGAGAGATAATGTGAGGTTTTGAGTACATGCCTTCCTAAGTGCAAAGGATAGCATATTTTAATTCATTTACTATCTCGCTATGCAGGTAATCCTCGACTTGTAACACTTCATTTAGTGACTGTTCAAAGATACAACAATACTGAAAAAAGGGGCTTATGACCACTTTTCACACTTATGATTGTTGCAGCATCCCCATGGTCACATGATCAAAATTCGAATGCTTAGTAACTGACATGTACTTATGACGGTTGTCATGTGCCGGGATCATGTGATCCCCTTTTGCAACCTTCGGACAAGCAAAGTCAATGGAGAAGCCAGATTCATTTAACAACTATGTTACTAACTTAACTGCAGTGATTCACTTAACAATTGTGGCAAGAAAGGTTGTAAAGTGGGACAAAATTCATTTAACGGTTGTCTCGCTTAGCAACAGATATTTTGGGCTCAATTGTGGTTGTATGTCGAGGTCTATCTGTACTTCACCATTCTTCCTAATATAGATAGTCCTCAAGTTACGACCACAATTGAGCCCAAATGTTATGTTGCTAAGTGAGACATTTGTTAAGTGAGTTTTGCCCCATTTTACGATTTTTCTTGCCACAGTTGTTAAGTGAATCACCGCAGTTGTTAAATTAGTAACATGGTTGTTAAGTGAATCTGATTTTCCCACTGACTTTGCTTGTCAGAGGTTGCAAAAGGTGATCATGTGACCCTGGGACATTGCAACCATCATAAGTATACAGTAAGTCACTTGTCAAGCATCCGAATGTAAATCACGTGACCCTGGGGATGGTGCAACAGTCATAAGTGTGAAAAACGGTCATACGTTATTTTTTTCAGTGCTATTGTAACTTTGAACGGTTACTGAGTGAACTGTTGTAACCCGAGGACTGCCTGTGGTAAAAGTCCTGGCTTTCAGTACTTGATTATTGCTTTGTACACAGGATCCAGAACAAGAGATTTGGAAGATAATGGAGTTCCTAGAGAGGCCAGCTGATGAAAACTTAGTCAAGAAAATTGCACACCACACTTCCTTCAAAGAGATGAGCCAGAACCCAATGGCTAATTATACAGGCGTTCCCATTTCGTTTATGGATCACACCATTTCTCCTTTCATGAGGAAAGGTGAGCCTTTCAAATAACCGAATTGGGGTTGGATGAGGTTTGTATCTCTAATGCTCATAGAAGGACAAAATAATAGTGCTGCCTTCTCCTGCCTGATAAGCTCCGTATGTGTTAGATTTGCAATTCCCAGCTATCACTGGGTAATCGCTGTGCTGAGCAGGGAATTAGAGGTCAAAGTTTCTGCTTCTAATATCAGCACCTGAGGGAAGGTGGGATAAAGGGCAACAATAATTGCAGCATGGAAATGTATTGCAGGCAAATAGGGTCCTTTTTATACAAGTTACAGGTACAACAATCTTCACCAACCTGGGCAGCCTGCAGATACGGGCTTCATGACTTTCCAGCAAGAATGACCATGATTAACAATGCAGTACAATGGCTTGGGGTTGTGGATGGGCTTTTCAGCCACTAGAGATGGTTCTTCTTATTATTTTTTATCCTTTTCCTGGGGATTTCACTGCTTCTACAGGGATCTCCAAGTAGGAAACAATCCCAATCAAGATAAAAAAACAACATATGGAGCGAGAAATTGTGATTGTGCCTGCCTTGTGCTGACTTCTGCATTCTCCCAAATATACAGTAATGTTGTACATCGGCCTTTTATTTCCCCTCTGCCCATTTTCTGTTAATTTTTCTTTCCGGGGAACATACTGTATGTTATGCACCAAACTTTATTTTATCCAGTTTTAAATATAGTGATGTTGAAATAGAAGATAATATTTAATTGGGTAATGAAAAGTCTGCAAGCAAACAACCAAGCCCAAAGACCATCAAAGGTTCCATCATTGAACCGTGAGTTGCATACTGTACTGTATATTGTTTTCTATTGCAACATCACTACGTTTAATATATTACCTAGTTGATTAATGAAACACTTGCAAGCAAACAAGCTCAGCAAGTACTAAGGACTCCACAGTTATGTTGACTATTATTTTTCCCTCAATGTAGGAGTTGCTGGCGACTGGAAAAACCAGTTCACAGTGGCACAAAACGAACATTTCAACGAGAATTACAAGATGCAAATGAAAGGAACTACATTGCAGTTTCGAACAGATATATGATTATTGTTGTCCCCCCTCCTTGACTTTTCATTTTCTTACTCATAATTAAAATAATCCTACACATTTTGTATATGTGCCTGGAATGTAGGTCAGTACACTGCACAGGCCTCCTAGTTAATAAGATATGTCCAACAGTAAAGGCTGTCAAGGTAATTTCTAAATTGTAGAATAGAATAGAATAGAATAGAATAGGAATAGAGCTGGAAGGGGCCTTGGAGGTCTTCTAGTCCAGCCCCCTGCTCAAGCAGGAGGACCTATACCCGTGGTGGTGAACCTATGGCACGCATGCCACAGGTGGCACTCAGAGCCCTCTCTATGGGCATACGCACTATCACCCCAGTCCTAGGCCTTCAGCTGGGTTTTATTAAACATTTTCGTTTTAGGCCTCCGCCGCTGTGTGCAAAAAAAAAAAAAAGGTTCAATCAATCAATCAATCAATTTCAACTTCTTGCGGAAAAAAAAAATCTCGCAACGTTGGAATTGATTGAACTTTTTAGTCCCACCCAGTCTGCTGTTACCACCGCAGCCATGCCCACCCAATGGGCCACACCCACCCGGCAGCCGAAGATACATAAGTGGGTTTTGGGTTGCAGTTTGGGCACTCGGTCTCTAAAAGGTTCGCCATCACTGACCTATACCATCTCAGACAGGTGATTGTCCAGTCTCTTTTTAAAAACTTCCAGTGATGGAGCGCCCACGATTTCTGGGGGTAAGCTGTTCCAGTGGTTGATTGTCTTCACTGTCAGCATGCTTGGAGAATAGCATGCTTGGAAAAATTTTGGCTGCACGTTTTGGCCAAAATGTGAATGAAATGAAATGATCATTGACCACCTCTTAGAAAACACGTCAAGTGAAAGTCTTAATTGACCAAACCTGTGACAGAAGTTAAAAACAAGAGGCTAGGAATCAGGAGATTGTGAGATCCAATTCCACTTTAGGCATGGAAATCAACTGGGTGACTTGGGGCTAGTCACCGTGGTAGAATCTCCAGCTAGAGTTGGGGGAGGTATGAAGAGGGGGCCGAGCTTAGAATCCTTGCACAACAGAAAACACCCCAGGCCTTACCTCCCCTAAAAATAAGCCTTATCTGACTGTTCCCAAGAGACTGCAGTCAGTCTGGCAAGATTCTTGTAATTAGGCATTGCAGCAATAAAGAACTCTGAACAATTCACAGTATAAGCTGGGTTCCTTGTGCCTGACAGTCATTCTCTCTCAGGCCACAACATCAGGCTTGGACAACAAGCCAGTCAATCAACTCTTTTGGAACCAATGGATCAACTTAGTTGATCAGAAAAAAACAAACAAATAAAGGCAGACTCTCTATTTGCAGGAAGAAGGAGGAAGAAGGAGGAAGACTTTTTATTTTTTAACAAACTTCACTCTCAAAGCTGTAGAGGTAATCCTCATCTAACAACTACTACTACTTGGAACCTATGATGGTGCTAAAAAAGAGGTAGTTAGAACTGGACCTCATGGCGATCACAGCATCCCCACAGTGACATGACTTTGATTGTCAACTTTCCCTGCTGGCTTCCTACATGCAAAGACTGCCAGAACTGCCATCCCTATACGGCAGTCATGAGGCTTTTTGATTTACAATCGCATTGCTTAATGACAGATTTTTCCAGTCCCAATTAGCACCATTACACAAGGGCTACCTCTACTGGTCCTCTTGGTTTTGGCCAAAAAACAAACTCCAGAGGGTGTTTCATTGATGAATTGTTTTAGTTAGGAATATTCTTTATTCATTAGTTTGAACTGGATTACAACTGACATGTATGTGACTTGAACGGCAAAAGTCGCCTTGAAGCAACCTGGAATTAAGGTTCCTAACAGTGAAGGCAATTAGCCAGTGGAACAGCTTGCCTTCAGACGTTGTGGGTGCTTCATCACTGGAGGTTTTAAAGAAAAGATTAGACAGCCATCTATCTGAAATGGTATGGGGCAGGGGTAGGCAACCTTGGCTCTTTTATGACTCGTGGACTTCAACTCCCAGAATTCCTGAGCCAGCACAGCTGGCTCAGGAATTCTGGGAGTTGAAGTCCACGAGTCATAAAAGAACCAAGGTTGCCTACCCCTGGTATGGGGTCTCCATACCCCTGGTATAGGCTGAAGTGAGCCGAACCTTTTCTTTCCTTTGTCCCACTTTCAATCTTTCAGCAAAGTACTTGTAGCTTTCCTTTTTCCACACAGGCCCTAAGGAATAACTGGAGCATCTAGCACGTCTCAGTATGATAAAGGTCAAGCTAACACATAGCATTATATAACCCAAATGTTAATAGCTAGGAGTTGCGTAACAGCAAAGGAAATGGAAAACTATGAAAACTCCCACTGCGTTTCAACCACAGAAGTGGCCCAGAGCCAGATTGGAGTTGAAATCCAAATTGCAAACTGAAAGTGGAGCCAGTCAAATTAAGCCAGCTTTTTGATCCCTTTCATCGCAAACATCAAATTGCACTTCATGATTCAGTTCTTAAAAGTATGCTTAAAGTACTTATTTTAAAAGGAACGAAAAGCAACTGTGGAATGGTATAGCCTTCGGCAGAACTGCTCATTGCAAGCCCCATTTTTAGGAACAAATCGAAAAGTGTTTTTTCTTCAAAATAGAAAAGCAGATGCTTTAATTACACCTTTTAAAACATCATTAATATGTCATAACATAGTTTCAGCCTCAGTCAAACAAACTAAAATTTGAATAAAGGCCTCCTTTCCAGATTCATTTAAAGATAGAAATTAATTATTGAACAGGTAATCTTCGACTTACAATAGTTCATTTAATGACTGTTCGAAGTTACAACAGCACTAAAAAAAGCGGCTTATGACCATTTTTCATCCTTAGGACTATTGCAGAATCCCCATGGTTGTGTGATCAAAATTCAGATGCTTGGGAACCGACTCATATTTATGACAGTTGCATAAGATCATGTGATCACTTTCTGACAAGCAAAGTCAATGGGGAAGCCAGATTCACTTAACAATCATGTTATTAACTTGACAACTGCAGTGATTCACTTAACAACTATGGCAAGAAAGGTCGTAAAATGGGGCAAAATTAACTTAATGACTGTCTCACTCAGCAACAGAAATTTTGGGCGCAATTGTGGTTATAAGTTGAGAACTGCCTGTAATCATGCTCCACCATAATACTGAGGTAAACATTTTTAAATAATCAGAATATCTTTCTGAATTCTATAAGGTTTGCTATTTTTAGTGTGGCAGGTGGCCCTCATTTAATGACCACATGTTCAGCAACCATTCGAACTTACAACTGTGCTTAAAGAGTAGTAGTAACAATTGGTCCTCATATTTATATAGGTTGCAGTGTCCTGGGATCATGTGATCTCCACTTGTGATCTTCTTTGTTAAGCAAAGTCAATGGGAAAACCACAGGAGGTCTCAAATGGTGTCATGATGCCCTTGCTTAACAATCCAGTGACTCACTTAATGACAGCAACTGGGAATGCTGGAATTTCTGTTGCTAAGCAGTGCAGTCATGTGATGTTGTGTTTTATGACTGTGTTGAAATTCTGATCCCAATTACGATTGTTAAATATTACCTGTATTATCTATGAATGATTGATTTGAAGACCTCTGACATTTTTAAAATGAGATTGTAGGCTCTCTCCTTTATTTCAAAGAGCTGCCTTTAAGGTTTACTTCATTTTTTTATTTTCTTGGTTTTGCTCTTGTATTTTCTTTTGTATATGAAAATGATAAACCTAAACAAAATTTAAACCATTTTTTAAAATCCTTATGAACCTTTTTCAGATTCGTCCCTTTTTCAGGTTTTTCCTTTATTTTTTTTTCAAGAAAAAGATGGTCACTGCAGGTATTATATGCTTCAGGTAAGCTAAAGTTATGAGACATTATGTATAATTCAAATTCAGGACCATGTACCCGGGAAGGTAAACACTGTGAAATCCAAACTTTCCATTGTCTATTGAAACTTTTCATAATTTTCAAAGGGAGATTACACTACTTGGTAACACTTTTTGCAGTTCCTCACTGCGGAATTCTGGAAGTTGAAGTCTAAGCATTGTAAAGTTGCTAAGGATCAAAAACACTGATCGAGAGGTTCACACAGAAGTATTATAAATATGGGAGTGACAGTCAATCACCCCTTGAGGTGCACCTGGAGGCTCCAGCTAGTTCAGAATGCACCCGCACGGGGGATTTTGGGGGCCTCTAGATACTCCCATGTAACACCTCTCCTGCACGAGCTGCACTGGCTGCCTGTGGCCTTCCGGGTGCGCTTCAAGGTGTTAGTAACAACCTTTAAAGCGCTCCATGGCAATGGACCTGGGTATTTGCAAGACCGCCTCCTACCAAATACCTCCCTTCGACCAGTCCGCTCCCACAGAGAGGGCCTCCTTAGGGTGCCGTCAGCCAGTCAATGCCGGCTGGCGACCCCCAGGGGTAGAGCCTTCTCTGTGGCAGCTCCTGCCCTCTGGAATGACCTACCCCCCGACCTACGTACAACTGCGGACCTGCGTCTCTTTCGCCGAGCCTTGAAAACCCATCTATTCCATGCGGCCGGCCTGGCGTAGTTTTGATTGTGTTTTGGTAGGGGGTTTTATATGGGGTATTTTAGAGCAGGCTTTTTATTTAATATTTATTGTGATTTTTATTATCGCCTGTTTACCGCCCTGAGTCCCGTAAGGGAGATAGGGCGGTATATAAATTTAAATAATAAATAAATAAATAAATTGTTGACCCGGAATTAGGAGACACCATAGGAAGTATCAATTGTGAATATGTGCAGATGGCCCTGCTGTCTTTGGGCATTTGCAGAGTCATGGATGCAGGGTCATGAAAGGACAGCAAGGAAAACACCCAATATAGGGAAACACCCAAAAGGAAACATTTTTAGCTACTTCTGCTTTCTCCCTTCTTATCTATAGTGTGACAGACTTACTGGGTGAAATCTTTATCTTATGTGTGTCAGCTTTGCTGGGTGGATTCCTTATGTAATCAGAAAGAATAAATACAAGGATTTCTTGTCATTCGGGGCTTCTCTCTTTTAGAGGATCCTGTGTTTGTTCAGCTGAATAAAAACATAATAAAGCTTAAAGGCAACTTCTGGTTTCCAGTATTTTTTTATCAGAACCTGCACAGCATTATCTCCCCAACTCATAGTCTCAGGAGGCTGTGAAACACACAGAATCACACCTGGAAGCAAAATTTAGGATGGATGCAGATAAGCAAGCTGGAGGTTAATCCAAACAAAACAATTGTACTGGGGGCAAGCATGCAGCCCATTCTGAAAGAGATTGCATTTTCCCTTCTCTGATTTGCTTTGATATTGAGATGGCTGTCAGCATAATTCCTGGGCAATCCATTTGGTTAAAGAAAAGGAGAAAACAGAAATAAAAGGTAGGAAGGCATGCTCAAGGTTATCTGCTCAAGTCCTGACAGGTCAGGAAACATGATAACATTTCGTAAAGGTAGAAATAGATTATAATTAAAAGCTTATTTGTATGTTGCATAGCTCTTATTAACTAAAATTCTATAAGAGAAAAAGAAAGAGGACAGTTTCAAAGGGGACTTTTAATCTGCAGCTGTTTACCCAGAACAGAAATTACCACGCAAATCCAGAGGTTCTCAACTTGTTCTTGTTACCCAATGGGCCCTATCCAAGAAAATGAATTTTAATGGGGAGAAAAGCAAAGTTTTAAATTTAGACAGGAAAAATCAAAGGTATAAGTACAAATTAGGTGACACCTGGCTCAAAAACAGTAACTGTGAGAAGGACTTTGGAGTCCTAGTGGATGATCATTTGAATATGAGCCAGCAGTGTGCGACAGCAGCCCCAAAAGCTAATACAATCCTGGGTTGTATAAACAGGCATAGAATCAAGATCACACAAAGTATTAGTACCCCTTTATAAAACCCTAGTAAGACCACACCTGGAATACTGCAACCAATTTTGGTCACCATATTACATAAAAGATGTTGAGACTTTGCAAAATGTTCAGAGAAGAGCAACTAAGATGATCAAAGGCCTGGAGACTTGAACATATGAAGAATGGCTGCAGGACTTGGATTTGGCTAGTCTAAAGAAAAGAAGAAATAGGGGTGATAGCAGTATTCCAGTATTTGAGGGGCTGCCACAAAGAAGAGGGGATCAAATTATTCTCCAAAGCACCAGAGGGCAGATCAAGAAACAATGGTTGGAAACCAATCAAAGAGAGAAGCAACCTGGAATTAAGGAGAAACTTTCTACCAGTGAGGACAATTAACCAGTGGAACAGCTTGCCTTTAGAAATCGTGGGCACTCCATCACTGGAGGTACTAGTACTACTAGTAATTGTTATTTTTATTTAAATGTATGGGCTATCGATTCTTTCCAACTCAGGGCACTTTACAACCTAAGGTCACTAAAAATAATTCTCAGAGATAATGCTTTCAAGCCAGGAATCTCATTTCTTGTATCTTTGCCCTACACTTTAAATTGCTAAATATAATACCTCACACTTCTCCCTGTTGAAGGACATCTTCTTCCCCTCAGTCCAATCATAATAACCATTGGTGCACACCAGGCAAAATGATCAAAGTGAGGGATGATGCCTGATGCTTAGTAAATGTTTCATGCACCCATAGAAAAGTCCCTACCCAAATCTCCCTAACATAATTCACTGAGTTAATCAGCAAACCATATATTTCCTGGGCTTTAATGAGTTTAAAAGGCCACTGGATAAAGTCCACTACCCAACAGAAAGAAATGGAGCTGACACAGACCATGAGAAATGAGAGAACATTCGTTTTGGAATCAAGCAATAGGGAGAAAAAAAAAACTGGCTTCAAAGGAAAGCCAGTTATAAAGTTGTAGGGAGTAAACTCTTGGTGTGCAGTACCAAGAGAAAAGTCCCAAAGCCAGCAAAATAGCAGTAGTCTTCTATCTTGGTGGTCTAATGATTAATTTTATTCAGGGCATCAACCCTGGGTCACTTCTTCCCTCCCAACCATTCCTATCCTCTCACAACCTCCTGAAACAGAACAAAACTGACAAATGGTAGCAGGAGCCAGGTTTATTTGGTAAGATTTTGTTTATTCTGAGTTTAAGCTTGATTTATTGAAGAACATTGCGCCATGCACTTTTTTTGCAATTTCCTCAAGAACAAAGGATCACATAAAACATTTACATGGCAGCTATTGTTTCTGTTCCTAAACAAAAAATCACTTCAAAAATTTGGTGGGTAAAAAAGCCATCTTTAGCTGACACCAACTAGAATTCATTTTTTAAAGTTTTCATCATCTCTTTAAAAAGAAACAACGCTGTCCTTTTCCCCATTTTTCACTAAGTTTATAAATATTTTTATTGGGCGAAATGTCTATGGAGATTCTTAATCATCCAGGTCATAGTTGCCCCAAAGGTGCTTTCAAAAGGCAACTGGTCTTTCTTGGCTTTTTCCCCTTGAAAACGTTTCTTCTCATCCAAGAAGCATCTTCAGTTCTGAAGAACAACTGAAGAAACTTCTTGGATGAGAAGTAAAACATTTTCAAGGAAAAAAAAACCTACGCTGTTTAAGAGTTCTCCTAAAATTGTCAAGGAAGAAGAAAGAAATCAAATGTTTATAACGTCCCCATTTCTGGAAATATAATTTTTAGTTCTATAATTCTTCCCAATGAATATTCTAGAGATTGAGGGCCACCATTATCTGGTCTTTGCACTTCCCAGTAACATTTTTTTAAATATTATATAAATACACTCTGCTTTGACATACTTCAGAAAACTGTTGATTGTATAATTTCTACTGAAGCCACCAAGCAATTATTATCAAATGCATTATGAAGTTCTCTTCTTCATAACTTGTTTTTTTTTATTAGTAGTTACTTCTTTTCTACTTGGCTTTTGTATTTTTATTTTTGTGTGGTTTAAATGTTACAATTTATGCAATAAATAAAATAAAGTTATGCAATCTGTTCTTTTAAGACTAGTTCCAGTTTTGAAAATGTTCCATACCCAGTTTTGAAAATGTTCCAATCCTTGGAATAAAATTCTATCGGAATTCTGGTCATATCAGAATAGCAACACTACTTTTAGTTTTTCTTGCAGTGATGAAATGAATAAAAGCGGCAATTGTGCAATAGAAACAATTAGTAACATTACCTCAGTGATTCTTTTCACCCCAAAATAATAAGAAAATCCCCAATGCCCTCCTACTTTCCTTTAGAAATTCACAAATTCAGGTCGAGTCTTTGTGTTTCAATTGCTGGATTTAATTCCAAATCTTTTCTTCAAAGAAGGAGGTTTTGCAATCTTCTTAACACAGGGGAAAAAAACCCTGGGGAAAAAAAATCTAAAGTATGCAGCACTTCATAGCAGCCTAAGCTGAAATAACACAGCTGCAAGGGGGAAAATTTTAAAAATCCAAATAACTAGGGTTGCCAGGTGTCCACTATTTGAGCGGACAGTCCACTTTTTTCACATTATGTTCACTATTTTTTTCACAAAATAGTGGACATTTTTTTATTCAAAAGCTTTATGATGAAATGGTATGTAATCTAAAGCTGTACAGTCTACTTTTTTTACTACTTAACACCCCCCCCCCGCTTGTCCGCTATTTTTTGGAAGCAGACCTGGCAACCCTACAAATAACAGAAATCGACAAATAACAGACAATATTGCCTGTTTATTCACAGAATTTTAGTTGGCTGTTTCCAAAGCAACTAACGACTCTTGCAATAGTAGTTAACCTTTGTAATAATCATATAATCATTTCTCACAAAGCTAACTGCCTGTGTTGCATTGGAGTGCACATGTCTTAGGTTAATAAATTAAACAGCTGCTCTAATAGGTTTCTGTTGCTTCTTGCTTAATTCACTGTCCCTCTGCAGAAGTTCACCGGGATAGACCTTGTTCTTCATCAAGCTGCAGCTGCAGGGCAACGTCACTTCTTCTTTGTTTCTTTGCAAGCCACAACATAGCGCTGAGCTACGTTGAGGGGGGGAGAGTAGCCATCTGCATAGCTGGTATCTTCAAAAAGGACTGAGTAGTCATCTTGGGGCTGAGGCCAAGAAAAAGAATGGATTTTGTTACCTCCTACAGGGGGATGGGCATTCAGTCATGCTCTCCACTGGATTGTTAAGCTGCTTCCTTTTCTTCTTATTCTTCTCCTTACCTCATCCTTTTCTGTCTCCCTTCTTCTGGTTCTTTCCCACCCTTTTCTAGCCACTTCCACATTTCAGTCCTGACATACTGAACTGTCTTACCAAAAATAGACAACTGCATCTTACTGATACATAAGGCTTTTTAGACCCTAATTATGAATGGATTGGGGACATTTTGAAAGATGTTGAGCTTTCCTGCTTTCCTGTATCCAGAGCTAGGGAGAACATGCCCTGATACATGAGTTCATAACAGTCATTTGCCAACTCTTGCTGGAAAAAAATTCTTTGGTCTTTTAATCTGTCTGTTCTATCTATCTATCTATCTATCTATCTATCTATCTATCTATCTATCTATCTATCTATCTATCTATCTATCTATCTATCTATCTATCTATCTATCTATCTATCTATCTATCTATCTAATCTCTCTCTCTCTCTCTCTCTCTCCATCCATCCATCCATCCATCATCCATCCATCCATCCATGCTTCTAAGATGCTTAACTTGAAGTATATATCCCAAATTTCATAATTAGCATAAGATATGTAATGCATAACAATGAAGTAGCAACGCCAATTATATGCCTCTGCATTCACATATCTAAAGATATATTTTTTCCTTCCACACACTAGCAACTTAGCTACTTTACCATCGTGTCTCAACACATTTAAAATAGTTGTAGTCTATCCAGAATGCAACATCTCCCATGGTTGCTCCCCAGCTAATTGTGATTTAGCCTCTTTTTTCTTAGATAGCTTGACTTTCAAATCTATTTCCCGTCTATCTGCACTACTAATTTAAGACAGAGACTGATAATCTGGCTAAGCTAGCAATATAGTAGCTAAGGGACAAAGCAATGTAACACTGACCAAGTGAAATCCCAGTGCTGAATAAAATATCAAGGATTTTGGATTTGGCAAAATGGGATGGAAAGAGAACAAATACATTGAGAGCAATTTTCTGTAAACAATTTCCAGAGGTAACTGATTTGGAGAGAAGTCAACCAAGCAAACCAGAGGCAGACAGAGATCCTGACTGATAATCTGTAGTTGTCAGGCTCCTTCTCTCATTCTCTATTAGATTACAATTTAACTTTCGTGAATAATGTTGATAGTTTTCTTTTGTCTTTTTAAAACTTTTGCTCCATCCACACCTGGTTCTATCTAAACCAGAAAAGTCCTGACATGTTATTCCAGGAAAGACAAATTACCTTGCCTGATAAACAGACTGGGAGATATTAGCAACCTGTGATTTGATGCTTTATTACAGTATTCCCCAACCTTTTCGGATCGGTGGTCGAGGGGGGAGAAGAAGGGATGGTTTTACATGTTTGTGCCACTTTCACAGATGCAGCTTTGTGCACGGGCACACGTGTGCACACACATGCCTACTTCTGCAGCCTCGTTCTGAATGGGCTGTGACCTGGCACTGGGCCATGGACCGGGGACCCTTGCTCTATTAGCATCAATAGAGTTACTCTGTAATTATTACCTAGAGAACAGCTCAGGAGAAAGAGCTACGGGCCAGATCAAGAGGTTCCTTGGCCCAGGACTCAATGAGCCTTTGGTCTGACTGAAGGACAGGTCAGCTTTTCCATCAGGTGGACCTGCATGAGCCATTCTATCACCAGTTTGGAGCATTTATTGAGGAAAACTCCTATGGTCTCTTTCTTACCCGCTGAGGTGGAGCGTGGATAAGGGCTCGGTAGAAGCAGGTGGTTTGTGGGTACAAGGCCAGGACCAACTGGTCCTTCTGGAACAAGGCCTCGGGGTCTGTTTCAGGATTGGCCTTCCACTGAGGTAGAGGGATGATGCGACGTCGGCTCAAGGTATGACGCCTGTGGAAAAATAGAAGTCAAAATGAGCAGATTTCCCCAAAATGCCCCATAATTCAGGACCAAAATATTTGGGGGGAGGGGCTGAGGGACACAGGTGAATTTCAGGAAGCAGACTGGGGAACACTCAGGGCTAAAACATGCAACGTTCTCGTCTGAATATTTTCCCATCAAAGTATCAGGATGACTCCGATCCTGCTGGACTTTCACAAGGCTATGAAGACCTTGCGTTAAGGGCCCCATTTCTTGGCTATATTATCTATCTATCTATCTATCTATCTATCTATCTATCTATCTATCTATCTATCTATCTATCTATCTATCTATCTATCTATCTATCTATCTATCTATCTATCTATCTATCGCAATAGTTTTACTTGGCAACTATATATATATATATATTTTGTTTAAATTGTTTAATGTTTTTATGGTGTAGGCCACACAGAGTCACTGATTGAGATAGGTGCCTATAGAAATTAAATAAATAAAATATACACGTTTCATTTAATTGTAAATATAATTAAGGTTAAATAAAGTGAATATAATGGCACTACTGACATGTACTTAATTCTCCCTTTAATCACATTAGAAATTACAGGAAGGGTTTGGAAAATCTCTGGGTGCCTTGTTCAAAGCTTCTGGGGCCTAGGGCCTGACATAGTGCACCTCTGCCTTTAACAATCCCTTCATCACTTACTCTTTTCCTTCTTCATCAATGTCATCCACCTCATATCTGAAAAAGAAAAAATGCTGAATAAGAATTTGAAGAAATCCAAATAGAATGCCCACAAAGTAAAATTAACCAAGATGAATTCTCGCACAACACATCCATTTTCATTCTTTTAAAATGATGACCAGTTGTCTGTAAGGAGTATAAATCTTTCCATTCCCCACCATCCAGTGAGAGCTGAAGAAGCTTCTTGGATGAGAAGCGAAACGTCTTCAAAGAAAAACAAGAAAGTCCTGTTGCCTCGTGAAAAAGCATCTTTGGGATAACTATGACCTGGATGACTGAGAATCTCCATAGACTTTTAGGCTCAACAGACATGAAGCACATATGTACCATGCATATGCACATTCATACATACTGTAGTATCACCGAGTTTATTCTCTTTCAACTCTTGATAAGCTCTCTGGGCTTTGCATACCACACCTTTTTTTTAATGGAATTCATCATCATCATCAACTAGGACAGACTGATTTTGAATACGCACATATATCATACAGCAATCTAAACTCTGGGTGACTATATAGGGGAAATCCATTCAGTTTACTAAGCAACATTTTTGGAAGTGGTTTGCCACTGCCTTCTTCTTGGGCTGAGACGCAATGATAGCCTAAGGCCATGGTGGCGAACCTATGGCATGCGTGCCATAGGTGGCACACAGAGCCCTCTCTGTGGGCAAGCGCGCCATTGCCCCAGTCCTAGGCCTTCAGCTGGGTTTTATAAAACCTTTTTGCTTTAGGCCTCTGCTGCCGTGTGCAAAAAAAAAAAAGGTTCAATCAATCAATCAATTTCAACTTCTCGCAGGAAAAAAAAAGATCTCACAAAGTTGGAATTGATTGAACTTTTTAGTCCCACCCAGTCTGCCGTTACCACAGCCACGCCCACCCAATTGGCCACACCCACCGGGCACCCGACGATACATCTGGGTTTTGGGTTGCAGTTTGGGCACTTGGTCTCTAAAAGGTTCACCATCACTGTCCTAAGGTCACTCAGTTGGCTTCTGTGCCCAAGGCAGATGTGGAACTCCTAGTCCAGCACCGTAATCATTAGACCAAGCTGGCCCTCAGTTATCATATCTACATACTTCAAAATGACTGTTTCCAAGACAAACAACCACTGTTCTTAATTAGCAAAAGGAAGACTCTCTATGACACTATCACAATCCCCCGTATGCTCACTTGTTGGTTGCATGATTGTAGCTCACAGCCTCAGCCAAGATCCACTGCTCATCCCCATCAACAGCCTTGACACGAGCTGCTACTTTATCTCCTGGTTTGGCCACATAATCACTGGAGGCGGGGATGGCACCGCAAAGGGGAGGCGGCCTGCACAAGAAACCAGACAAAAAGTGCCTAATCCATGGCTGAAGAGTGACTTCAGGTTTTCAGAACCCACCATACCTTCCCAACAATTACTTTTCTCCAGGCTTCCCAATCCACAATGGAAGAGTCATGGCGCTCTGCTGGAGAAGAGTCATCAGCACTCCACGGCGCATGGTTTTACGTGGCGGTTCAGAGTCATTGTAGAGGCCAGCGATCTTGGCAGCTGTGTGAAGAGAGGGAAGCAGACCAGAAAGGTTTGGCTACATCTAACAAATTATTAAGGATGCAAGTGTCTCAGCCAGTAGAAGTCAATACTGATAGACAGATGACAGATGATAAACAGACAGACAGACAATCCAAGGTGAAAATTGGTAGAAGTCAATACCGATAGATAGATAGAAAGACAGACAGACAATCCAAGGCAAAACCAGACTTATGGCTTAAGCTTAGAAAGCAACACTTCCAATACTCCAAGGGAGTAAACTTTGCAGGTAGCCTTCCGGCCTTCAGATGAACCTGTCAATCATATTCACTTCCATATCAAAAACATAGTAACGTTATGCTCTACGACAATATGGAAGAAGAGAGAGCATTGTATAGGCAAATTTGAGGTCTTGAATGGAAGGGAATATATAATCTAAATACAAAAGTAAAAAAAAAAGAAGAGCTGAGGTTGTAAAAACTTTTCATTCCCTCGTCACAGAAAATTGTGAATGTATCAATACATCAAATTTCTCACTTTGTCTTTGTTTATGAACTACATACTCCTGGCAAAAGTCAGTTTATGGCAGTGAATTCCTTCTAGGTTTATTTCAGAGGTGTCCTTGAACTATCAGGGGAAGTTCCAAATTCTGGGAAAGAATTTCCACTTTCAGTTATAAACTCTCACTTTGGCTCATCACCCAGTCTGATGTACAGCACAAAACTTCCCGCCCAATTTAAACTAAGATTTCTGGGAACCGTAGGTTTCTCTTGGTCAGTTTAACTGGGAAGGCATCCCAGTGCAATTATTCATATTAGGAAATGGGATACAAGGGCTGATGCACCAGACATTCAAGAAGAATGCGTTGAGCATCATTCCTTAACCTATCCAGGCTGTTTGGGTTTACATAATGCATATAATTTGTTAAATATGGCACAATAGTTTGCCATGAATCGGGTCCCTGTAGCTTGTTCCTAAAATATACTTAAGACAAACGTTGGTTTAGAATGATTTCTTTAACTCAGCCACAGAAGCCAATTAGCCTAATCAAAATAACGCTTCATCTTTTCCCAATTTTTCTACCTATGTCTTGGAAGGAGCAAAGTATTCTTATTCAATTTCTTTCTGGCACAATCTGATTAGGATTACCAGAATTGGGCTGCAAAAATATAGATAACTACTAAATGGCAGCAAGGCAATAAGGCATTATATATCTATAGGCTACCATCTAGAGGTTGACTAAATGTTTGCAGTCCTGCTCTGACAGAACTAGATTTGTCTTTAGGTAGTTCTTGACTTACAACCTTTTGGTCAGTGACTGTTTGAAGTTTCGACAGTGCTGAATGAATCGTGGTTATGATTGTTCCAGCTATCCCAGCACCCCTGCAGCTATGTGATCTCAATCTGGGCACTTGGCAACCAACTCATACTTACAATTGGTTGCTGTGCTGCACAATCCAAGATTGCCATTTGTGACCTTCCCTGACGAGCTTCCACATCAATGGAGAAGCCAGCAAGGAAGACTCCACGTCCCTGGGATAAGTCTCCCCCACCCACATCATCTCCCCAATCCCATATCTTCTCGCACACACTGGCATCCCTGCACCCCCCCCCCAAACTTTGCTTCCCTTGCACCCCATCCCTCACCTGGAAGCAACCGCTCACCTACCTGTCTGCTTGCAAACCACTTGTAACTTGCAACTCCCTGCCGGCTTCCCCACTGACTTTATGGTAAGCCAGCTAGAAGTTGCGAGAATGTCCTTGCCTAACGATGGCTACAATTCCGTTAATGGAAATTAATGTAGAGATTGTTGTCACTAAGCAACGCAGCCACAATTTATGACTGCATCACTTAGCAACAGAAATTTTGATCCCAATTGCTGTCGTAACTTGAGGACTACCTTTATTAATGGAAGACAAGTCCACACCAAAAACTCATATGCATCCTTTTCTTAAGGCCGCTTGAATAATGAAATAATTAAAACTAAATTGTTTAAAACTTTAAATCTTGGGATAGCACCCGACATTTTTATAACAGCTCAAGCATCCCATTTTCTCTTCCTTATTCAGAGCTTTTCAACACTCACCAATTCGCCGTTCTTCCAGAAGAGACTTTATCTCAGCAATTTTGTCCAAGTCCTTGCGCAGAATGCTGGGTAAATAGGGCAAAGAAGCAACAACAGTAATGAAAAGGAATCACCTTCTCTCATTAGAAGCAGGCAACTTAGATATACTCACTTGCATTCAGCTTCTGCATCAGCCTTAGCTGTTGTATAGAGGCCACGCAATTTCGTTCGATAATACGGAGAGACTAGACAGAAGAAATGCAGGTAATATTGGGTAATATTGAGTTTACACAGAAATCTAGTTTGCCTATTGTTCTAAGCCAAACTTGCTTCATCAAGTTTGTGGGAATATATTAAAGCTGACTGGATTAACACAACACTGTGAACCATAATCTAAAGTTTAGAAGTGACATACCAGTCTCACCTGACATATTAAGCTAAAATCAAATATACCACATTACATATACTAGGCAAAATCCATTTTTGACTCAGAGTATCTCAGATAGAACTGGGAAAGTTCCAAGGCCTAAAGAATATAACAGACAATAAAGTCACTTGTTCTGAAATGTAGCAACAACCCAACTAGTTTAATTTTCTACAATGCCCAGTAAGATGTTCATTGGGAAGCCGATTCATTAGCCTAGATCAGGGGTAGGCAACCTTGGCTCTTTTATGACTCGTGGACTTCAACTCCCAGAATTCCTGAGCCAGCCATGGCTGGCTCAGGAATTCTGGGAGTTGAAGTCCACGAGTCATAAAAAAGCCAAGGTTGCCTACCCCTGGCCTAGATGAAGCACTCTACATTATGTATAATTCTGTATATATTCAATCTGTTCTCTGTTTATCCTTTTTTTCTTAATAATTTAAAAAGTTCCCTGTTTTATTATTCAGTGCAGGGTCAAGAGAGCCATAGATGAGGTGAGGGCAGGAAACAATAACAATACATTTTGGACTAAGTATATAATATGTGCAGATGGCCCCGCTATCTTAGGGTACTTGCAGAATCATTGGATACAGAGTCATGGAAGATTAGCAAGGAAAACACCCAATGTCCCAAGTCACCAGAGAACACGTAGCGTCTTTAGGGAAACACCCAAAAGGAAATTTTTTAGCTATTTCTGCTTTCTTCTTTCTTATCTATGGTGAGCCAGCCTTTCTGGGTGAAGTCTTTATCTTATGTGTTCCAGCTTTGCTGGGTGAATTGCTTATGTCAGGGGTGTCAAACTGCTGGCCCATGGGCCGGATGCGTCATGGCGAAACCGCACCCATCCCATTGCCGGCAATGGAAAAAAAGTCGTGATACGTTGTGACACGTTGCGAGTTTGACACCCCTGGCTTATGTAATCAAAAAGTATAAATAAAAGGATTTGTTGTCATTTGGGGCTTCCTCTCGTTTAGAGGGGCCCGTCTTTGTTAGAGGGGCCCGTCTTTGTTCAGCTGAATAAACATGTAAAGCTTAAAGGCAACTTCTGGTCTCTTGCATTTGTTACCAAGCCACACCTCAGATCCTGCACATTTTCATTCTCAAAACACACTTTGCAAGTTGGTCTCTTGTGAGGTAGAATGCAGGAATGAGTGAGCAGCCCTACTAAAGATGAATAAGGACTATCTTCTGCCAATTAATTTCATATGTACAAGCAACTAGCCAGAACATTTTCCAACTCAATTTTTTCTAGAAAATTCTCACCCCTATTTTCCTCCAAGGGAAAAATTTAGCTTTAGCTCCAAACCTTTTGGAGTGCAGGAACGAAATTGTTTAACACATTTCTCTAGCCTGTTGCCTTTTCGATGTAGCATACAATGGCTCCCACTGCCTATAAGCTTCAGAACATCCATGGCCATTGTCACTGTTGGCAGTTGTTACACAATGGTAATTGAATACACTGGCCCAATTAGCAATAGCACTTAGACTTATATACTACTCCATAGTGTATGACAGCCCTCTCTAAGCGGTTTACAGAGTCAGCATATTGCCCCCAACAATCTGGGTCATTTCACCAACTTTGGAAGGATGGAAGGCTGAGTCAACCTTGAGCTGGTCAGGATCAAACCCCTGGCTATAGGCAGAGTTTGCCTACAATACTGCATTCTAACAACTGTGCCATCACTCTTCTTATTTATTTATATAGATGAAAATAACTCTCTCATCTACCAGCTGGGGAATGTGGCAAATTCAAAATGATGCTTCAGAAAGGATTTCTAGGGAAGGTGTTACAAGGCTGGCATTTTCTACTCACTCTTGTTCTCCGTCTGCATCCGTTCATGTGTTTTCTGGATATTCACAAGATTATGTTCACTTCTTGATCGTTCCTCCTAGCAACAAAAGAATTTCTGGGGTTTTTTTTGTTTTTTTTTGACAACAGGGTCTTTATTTTCGCACATAAAATGTATTCCTTGAAGTTATCACACCACACCAGTTTCATGCCCTCCTCTCATCATTATGGTACAGCCTCTTTGGTGCATTACTAAAATAAGATGTAGCCCCAAATGAAAAAGACATCCTCCCTCTCCAGAAAAAGCAGAAGGAAAGCCTTCTCCTTTTCTCATCATTGGCCATGATAAACTAAGTAGACTTCGTGTCACATACAGACCCAAATATTCCAGGGAAAAAAACCATCACGTTACCTGGGTCTGTTTGATAAGCTGGTGCAATTCTCCTAGGAGTTCAGCAATCCTAGAATCGGCTGACACCAAAGCCATGTTGCTAAAAGAAATGTAGGGCAGGAGAAAGGAATTTCTCTCAAACCAATTGCCATTATAACATTCTGGAAAGACTGTACTGCTAAATCTTAAAACATTAATAAAGGGAGGAATACAGTATTCTTGACGTCTTACATTTGGTGCAAATAACAAATGTCACATTTAGCAACAGAAACTTTGGGCTCAATTGTGGTTGTAAGTCAAGGATTACCTGTATGGACTTTAAAATACTGTCCAGAGCCCCCCCTTTATAAAGAGAGATGGGCAATCTAGAAACATAAGATATAAACAAACAAACAAATGTTTAGAATTTGGGAAAGTTTTTATCTATCTTTATTAGGCAAATTAGCCTCGGGACCACCTTCACTTTATATTCCTGTGTTTATATTTGCAGAATAAATGAAATTAAATGTACTTATTTTCTGAATACTCAGCAGATATGAGGTGCATATTTTAATTTAAAAGCAGAATTTGCTATTTTAAATTGCCCGTTTTAATTTCTCTATTTGTTTTTAGCTGGAAGGCCCATCCTTCTGGAAAGCAATTAATACCCATATGACTTCCAATTATTGTTTGTAAATCCAATATGCACGTTTACAGGGTAAGATGCATTCGGACCACTGCGATTTATATACTTGCTGTCAAAAACGTGTTACTTTGAACATTTTCAATGAATAATATGACCTTTCATTTCTTACACCCGAGGAAAATACGAGTATCTGGCATCTCCTTTAAGATATAGCAGGGGTAGGCAACCTTGGCTCTTTTATGACTCGTGGACTTCAACTCCCAGAATTCCTGAGCCAGCATAACATAGCTGGCTCAGGAATTCTGGGAGTTGAAGTCCACGAGTCATAATAGAGCCAAGGTTGCCTACCCCTGAGATATAGTATGGATTTCTCATGATGAAAGAAGGGGCATCCCTACATACTGCAATGAACCCGATCGACCACACGCCGTAAGCATAGAATAAATCAACATGCAGAGGGAACCAGTAGGGGGCGACACGGTACAATTATAATCAGCTGGATGCACGAACGTCTTCACCCCCTTAGTCCAGTAAGTTCCCATTACCGCGACAAACACTTGATTCCCTACCGTTTAAAGTCCGTGCCGAGAGTGGCAGAACAACGCTTGACGCAGGCTTGCTAAACCATAAATAAATAAATGAAGGCGGCACGCGCGCCTAAAAATGACGTAGAAACCTCCGCACAGGGCACTTCCTACAGCTAGGTGCCTAGCGCGTGCGCCCTAAGTTGTCGGAAGTGGACGCATGCGCAATTCATGGAAATCAATTTCCCCGTTTATGGGCTTTATTTTGCGCATGCGTTTGTAGACCGCCACCAAAAAAAAAAAAAGCCACTCCACAATCCCCCCCTCCAAAAACAGTACAGTCCATTTTTGTTTTTCTTTCCAATTTTTTTTTAAACGGAATGTTTAAATGTGGAAAATGGTCATGAGTCTTCAAACTTGGCCCTTTTATGACTTGTGGACTTCAACTCCCAGAATTCCTCAGCCAGGCATGCTGGCTGAGGGATTCTGGGAGTTGAAGTCCACAAGTCATAAAAGGGCCAAGTTTGAAGACCCCTGCTCATGAGGAACAAGATATAACCAAGGAGACCACTAGGGCGGGTCAATGAATTAAGCAGGGGAGAAAAAAATCCATCAAAAAGCAGGAGTTTGATTTTTTGTTCCAATGCAACACAGGCAGTTAAGCTTTGTGGAAAATAATTATTATTTCCAAAAGTTAACTACCATTGCAGGAAGCCTCCTGGGAATTGTAGTTTTTGTTGATCGACGTGTGCTGTTAGCAAGAAAGAGCTGAAGGGAGGAGGGCGCGTGGCCAAATGGTCACCTGGGAAGGTTTTTAAACTTCCTGACAGAACAATTAACCAGTGGAACAACCTGCCTCCAGAAGCGGTGAATGGTCCAACACTGGAAGTTTTTAAAAAGAGACTGGACAGCCATTTGTCCGAAATGGTGTAGGGTTTCCTGCCTGAGCAGGGGGTTGGACTTGATGACCTCCAAGGTCCCTTCCAACTTTATTATTATTATTATTACTTTCAAGCGTGGATTTGCTGCGGACCGCACGGTGGCTTAACTTTTCAAACCTTGAAGCTTTTGAGACGTGATCGCGATTCATAGAATACTAATGTTTTCTAAAAAGTTGTTACTTCGTGTGCAAGTCCGAAGGAGAAGATAGAAAGGGAAAGAATATACTTTTTCCTATGGGGTTTTACTTGGAGATAAGTAAGACTCATTTAAATTTATTTCCTAATAAGCGTTACAGAATTGCAAGAATGGAACTTAGTAGGGAATTAATATGAAAACAGAATTACAATAGCTAGTCGCAAAATCAAAATATTTTTTTTCCATACCTCCTAAAAAAAGGTGGACATTAATTGCAAAAAGTGAAGAAAGATTCCAACGGAAATAGTTTTTTTCTTTTTTGTAGCACTCATGAGTGCAGTGGATTAATGCAATCATAAAACAAAACTAGCAACAAATACCAAGAGAAATTGAGATACATAACCGGTCAAACCACAATGTGGAACAGCTGGAACACCAACAAATCAACATTGTTGGCATATGCCCTTCAGGATTATATTCCGTGCATTGGATGAAATGGACTGTGGTCCACAAAAATTTATGCAGAATAAAGTTGCAGACTACCTATTTATTTGCATCCCACCTTCCTTATTTTTACAAATAACTCAAAGCGGTGAGCATACCTTCCTCCTTCTATTTTCTCCACAACAACAATGGGTGGGTTAGACTGTGGGTGAGTTAGACTGAGAGAGAGAGTGTGTGACTGGCCCAAAATCATGTTTGTCTTTTGTTGAAGAGTTGGTTAAACAGCTGGAAAAGTTCTTGACTGTCATTTAAAAAGAAAAAAAAGACAAGCAAATGCAGGAATCCTTCTCAAATTACAGTGACAATGTTATTAGCTGCAATTTTGTCTGCTCTGTTAACATGGCAGGCAGTTCCTGTCATTGGCCAGTATGATGCTTCCCTCCCCACATTCAGGATAGTTTGCATCTTGTTGATTACTCAATTCAGTATGTTCAGGAACAAACTGTACCAGACCAGCACTATTGACACTAGATAAGTTATTGTGCTACAGCACTGGATGAACTGAAACTGGTAGTCATCATAGTCGCAGGATGGCAGAGTTCACACCAGAAGTACTGTAGTTTGCTGCTGCTTTTACAGGTAGTTCCTCGGTTTACAACTATTCTTTTAGTGACCATTTGAAGTTGCAATGGTGCTCGTACAACTGGTCCTCATGTGGTACTTACAACTGTCACAGTATCCCCATGGTCACGTGATCAAAATTCAAGTTCTTGGCAACTGACATGCACCATATTTACAATGGTTTCAGCATCCCAAGGTCATATGATCACCATTTGCAACCTTCCCAGCCGACTTCTGACAAGCAGTCACCAGGGAAAACTGGATTCGCTTAAGGACCATGTGGTTCACTTAACAATGGCAGTAATTTGCTTATTAAGCATGGCAAAAAAAGATCATAAAATCAGGCACGATTCACTTAACAATCACCGCTTAGCAACAGAAATTCTATTCCCAATTCTGGTTGTAAATTGAGGATTACCTGGAAAAACTGTTGCAGCAAAACCCTCTTTCTTTTTAAACATTGTCCAAATCAGTGGTTCTCAGCTAAGGGCCATATGGTCCCTTGGGGATTCTGGGATATTTCAAGGGAGTCATAGCCAGGAGAGGGAGCACAGAAAAGCAAATGGATTTTGCAAAATGCAAATAATGCCTTGTCCACATCAGAAAATGTAGCAGTTACTGTCCTATGTTTGTATCCAGGAATGAGACTTGTGATGAGGGGAAAAGATTTGAGGAACACTGCTCTAAATGATTAACAATGCTGTCAGGTCTGTTTTTATAATGGGTGCTTCCATGAAGTATTATTGATTGGTGTGCTTAACTTACAAATTATAACAGGTAGTCCTTGACTTATAACAGTTCATTCAGTGACCATTTGAAGTTACAACAGCACTGAAAAAAGTGACATAACCATTTTTCACACTTACAACTACTGCAGCATCCCCAGAGTCACATGATAAAAATTGAGATGCTTGGTAACTGACTCATATTTATGACGGCTGCAGTGTCTTGGGGTCAGGTGATCCCCTTTTGCAACCTTTTGACAAGCAAAGTCAGTGGGGAAACCAGATTCACTTAACAACTGTGTTGCTAATTTAACAACTGCAGTGATTCACTTAACACCTGTGGCAAGAAAAGTCATAAAATGGGGCAAAACCAGTGCTTTTTTTCTAAAAAAAAAAAAAAAAAAGGTGCCGGAACTCACACACATCATACAACCCGCCTTGCCTACCCTACAAGGTTCCATCCAAAAAAGGTGCCGGAACTCCGTTCTGGGCGTTCTATAAGAAAAAAAGCCCTGGGCAAAACTCACTCAACACATTTCTCACTTAGCAACATAAAGTTTGAACTCAATTGTGGTCGTAAGTCAGGGACTACCTATAATATGAATGAAAGAAATAGCAGGAAAAGTAGTATAGAACTATGACATGAGAACTGTGACTGTAGACATATGCTTCAACTTTCATTGAAGACCCTCAATAGGAGTTATAAATTGGCTATATCTAGGATCTTGATATCTGTATTAAGGGGAAAGAAAAGAAACACAAAACTATTGTCACATTCTGTATACAATTACACTTTAACTGTTCTATCCGAAATGTATGTGTGCAAAGATCTCTTTTAATTATCATGCATAGCAGCAAAAAATGCATGATTTCCAGAAGAAGAGACATATAATTCTGTGGCAGCATGCCAATGTTGTTATATTATTACAAATGCTTTTGTATGTTCTTGATCACATATGTATTTAAACACGAATCTATACCAGGTTTGAAGGCTTATCAGCAAAGAGTAGAAGCCGTACTTTGTAGGATATAAGTAGGAAATTAATTTATATTCATTTAATTATATGGAGGCATGGAAACATTTTTTCTCTGTTTATTATGAACTTTTTAAATATCTTGGAGGAGTGAAAGGAAAAGTGGAATGAGGTATTTGAAAAACAATTCTACATCTTTCACTTTCTCCCTATGTATTTCCTTTTTTAACCTACTTTTGCAGCTATAAACTTGGGGTTATTTTTCTAAATTTACTTTTTCTAGAGGATGGAAACATAAACATAAACAGAAAACATAAATTCAGAGTAGGGCTTTTAAAAATATATTTAGGTAAGAGTACCTCACATCTTTGGTACATGCTTACAATTTTATTTGTTTATTTGTTTATTTAAATTTCTTTGTCGCCCAGCAAACAACAGAGTAACTCTGGGCAGTGACTTACAATGTAGTTAGTTACTGTATACCTTTCTTTAGCCTATTGACTGCCTCCATCAGAAACTAAAATGAATTTAAATGTCACCTAAGCTTCATTCCTAGTGTGTGTGTGTGTGTGTGTGTATGTGTGTGTGTGTATATATATATATATATATATATATACACACACAGAAAACAAATATATATATATATACACCTCAGAAAACAAATATATATATATATATATATATATATATATATATATATATATATATATATATATATATATATGTTTTTTCAAAATTTGGATTGCTAACAAAGAATTAAGGGAGTACTGGGATAGCTATTTCTAACCTTATTTGGTTTCATCAGCCAGACATACCCTTCTGAGATTCAAACCTGGGCTGTCTGCATGTTAAAGCATTCATCCTCTTCCCCTGTCTCTTGTAGCTAACAAAGTGAGAAAGAGCCTGTGGCCTAGTGGCTAACATCTCTGCTTAACATGCAGACAGCCCAGGTTTGACTCTCAGAAGGGTATGTCTGGCTGATGAAACCAAATAAGGTTAGAAATAGCTATCCCAGTAGGTCTTTGGATATTCGGGTTTTCTCCCGCGTAAAATTGGAAGTGTCTTGGCGACGTTTCGACGAAGTCACATTCGTCATCTTCAGGCTGGTGTCTTCAGCTTCGTGCTTCTGGGAGTACTGTGCGATCGCAGCTGTTTCTTCCTTTTAACTGCCAGTGGGGTTTGAGCTGATTGGGTGGGAGCTTGGCTGTGTTCTGATTGGGTGGAGGTGTGTTCTGATTGGTTAAGGAGCTTGGCTGTGCTCTGATTGGAT